TGCTTAGGGTGGAGACATCTCGCCATTTTGTTCCCACTTTTACATTTATTTTTTGTTCAGAAGTGCATGAAAGAGCGTGTCCCTGCACGTGTCTGTGGCGCTGACTGTACTATGGCGACATTTTGTTGTTGTCGATTTCTTTGTATTTTCCCCGTCAGCGCGTGCTGTCGGCATCGGGTACTACAAAGGGTGGCATTACCCTAAAGAGAAGGTCGTTGAGGCACCCTAGTGGAACTGAAACTTTGTTTTCTACAACTGCTCCTACAAAGAGCAGAAAAAAAAAGTCTTAGGCAAGGTCGCGGAGAGCTCGAGGAGTGAAACTCACGTGACTTCCTGCGAACCCACTTTTAGTGACGTAGGTCGATGCCTCCCTTCTGACCGCCCCGACACCTTGCGGTACACTGTTACGTCACAGTGCACTGGCGGGAACTTGGAATTCGGCCTCCTATTTCTATTTTTAAGAAAAAACTACGCAACTCTTTAGTGAAACAATTTTTTGTAATGTCCTGACATGCCATTTCAACGCCTAGCATGAAAAAAAAATATATATATTTTTTGGCGTGTCAGAGGCTTTTTAAAGGCCGCTGTACAAGCGGGACGTTCTGCAGGGAAGAACCTTCTCTCCCGAAGCTGGGGGACGGGGAGGGAAAAGGCCAGCGTAGGATGGAAAGAGCGTCTAGAGAATGGGATTAGCCTCGGGGCGAGCCATCCTCTCGAGAGGGAGTGGGGACGGAACAAAGCTGTCGTGGGGGTTCCGGCTACCAGGTGGTAGAAAGATAAGCTTGTCAAACGGCGACCTCGGATGCGAGGACGGGCGTGTCAGAGAATGTGAAAATAGCTGCTTGATTAGTTGGACGACCTAGTGCGGTCTACTGGTTCTAGAAGGTGGCTCGGATGAAGAAAACTCGTTTTGCTCCAAAACTCTAAAAGCATTCTGGAACGTGAACTCTTGTTACAAATAAAAATAACACATGCATGAAAAACTATGAAGGCACCTAAGCTGTCGCCTATGATGTCAGAATGCGTGAGCATTACAGGCAGAGTTATGTTGGCGCAACTTACAATAAAGAAAAAAAAAAGTTATGTTGGCGCAACGGATAGCACACTAGTTTCAAGATCAAGACCTAGCTTCAAAACCGGGCAGGGGATGGTTTTTTTCTCGTGTTCCTTTTTATTTCGTTTATTTTTTTTGTTCGGTCACGTGACAAAAAAATCACATGAACAGACATTTTTTTTGGCCATGTTACCAGAGATTTTTTATTTTTTTTATTTCTCCTTTTCTTCTGTCTTTTTCTTTTTTTTCCTTCGTTTTTCGGTTTACGCTCCCTTTCGCAAAACTCTTTGGACCTATTTCACGTTGCTTTGGCATTAGCCAAATCATTTTATTTATGGCAGGGAATTCTGCCGTACGTATCTTATGTTACTATTACCAACCCTGGCTTGCAATTCGCATAGAGAATTTCGGCCGGCAACCAGTTTGGGAATGACGAGGCCAAATTTGTGTTATATATTTTTTTTTAGGTATAAGCATAATTCCGGCCTTGTTATCCGTCGATCTCTATAATTGGCTCTTCAAGCATCTTTTGGGAAAGTAGACGACAGGCATTTTTAGAGAGCACGTGTGTCCACCAGAGTGAACATTGCTGAAGCGCCTCCAGTGTGATTTTGGCCGTAAATAACTGGAGGCGCCGGGCAAACCCACCGAATGTAGAAAAGTATCTACCTTTCTGGTTTTATAGAGAGCTATGAAAGCCAGAAGGGACGAATCCCAGCCGAGTCAAACTACCGGCTTGCAAACGCAATCGTGTTGATAATAGCGCAAGGGAGTTTGTATGACTCTCTCTGGCGGTGTGCAGAGGGTAAAGGCAGGGAGGTTATATATGCTTTTGGCCTAGTCACCTTGCGAACGGTTGGGTATTGGCTGCAGAGATTCATTGCACTTTGTTCTATTGCCGAGATTATATCTTGATTTCTGTGTTTCTAATTTCACAGACAGAACGAAATCGCTTTTCTCGTGTGGCGTCACGGCGGGGAGACAGAAATCAATCAGTGTACCGAAATTCGACGCTTGTGTTCGTTCTATAGCGCTTCTAAAAACCGTGCGATCACGGCTGTGTAACGTCAACATTGCATAAACTGCCGTTACTTGTACTCGTATTGCATCGTGAGGGAACTACTATGACTGGGTAAACAGGAATAGAGAGAATGGGTGCGTGTGGGGGATTCGTTGAAGTTCTAATCAAGAAATCGAGCTTCAACGAATGCGATAGTATTGCACTCACTCAACCAGCTATATGAGTTTTCAGATACCTTCCAAGCATGCGATTCGTGTTCTGCCAGTAGTACCTCAGCTAAATTAAAAAACAAAATCCACGTTAAAAAAAAAAAAAAAAAAAAAAAAAAAAGTTTACGGTGATTTGAGCCGCTCTTGCGCAGAATCATGTTTCACGTAAGCGTAATCTTGGGTTCGATGCAACGAGGGGTCTTTAATCATAAAAATATTTTGATTGCGATTATTTGCAGCGCTAAAAATTTGAAAGCCAAGCAGTGAAGACCACGGTGTTCTTATAAATATTATATACATTTTATTTTACACTGTTTGAATACCCTGCCGTCGTTATGTTCTTGTGGCGGACAGGGAGGACTTGCAGGAAGGACCATATGATAGGACCTACACTAAACCTGCCGCGCTTCGAAAAATGTTAGTCCAAAGCATGCAAGTTTGTTCAAGGCGGACGGAGCGTTGCGCATCTGGCGAAGCGCAATCAATCGCTGCCCGCAACATTGTTTTTTTTTCTTTTTTTTTCTTTTTTGGGCAGCGAAATTATTTTTAGTCAAGCAGCAGGCCCCCTCTTTGGCGGGTTAAGCCGGATTAACGGAAGCGTCTTCTAATCCATTCTCCGTGTTGGCCCCTCGGGGGAAGGCGGTAAACAAGTGGCGGAGGGCGGTGAAGGGAGGAAAGGAGGGCAGGAGAGGAGGAAATGCAAAAAAGTGGAAAGCGCGAATTGTACGGCGGCCTTTAAGGAGAGGCACTCCCTTGGAGGGTCTACTTTTTAAGTATTTGTGCCAGGTCAATGAAATTTTTAGGGTATGTTAAACGTCAAAACTTAGGAGGCTACACCAACTTTCAACCCAAAAGGTTTATTTTTTGACAAGTTACAGCCTTATTCGTTGAAAAAAATGTACATGTAGCCGTGCCGAAGGAAAAAAACTATCGTTTCAAAATATGAATAAAAAGGCACAATTTCTTTGTTGGGATATAACGCTGAATGACTAAACTAATCGGTAGTAGGCTTGAAATAATTTTTAAGGCCATATTTCATGTAAAAATTAACTTGCAATAATGGTATGAATTTTTAATTTTTTTCTTGTTTCACAAACATCAATATTTTTGTGTGAAGAAATAACAATTTGCAAAAAGTAAGCGCATAGCCGAGTTCTCCAGTAAATTTCATGCCAAAAATGCCATACATTAGACTTGGGGGCGCTTGACTCATCGAACGATAGTTTGAGCTGTGAAAAAATGGTGAAAACATGAAGCTGAGAAAAACGGGTTTGAAAGTTCAAACAGTGTTTTAGTTTAGATGGGGCTTGCCATTTCATCTATAATGCTACAGGGGCATATGTCACTCTTTCCTCTGCACGGTCCCTCTGTGCCTTGGCCACAGCTTCCATCTTTCTTTTTTTGTGGGACATCTTGGAGGACTTGAGCGCTTTCACTTGGGCCTTCGCAACCTTCATCTTGGTGGCCCTCTCTCCGTATGACGCTTGGTAGCTCCCTGGCTGTATGCCAATTTCCAACAGAGCTTCCTGATTCGCTAGGACGAGCCACGTCACGTGGCTTATCCTAGCGAATCAGAGCTCTTGTTTCGCCAGCTTGACCAATATGAGCGTGCACAGCTATGTTTTCTACGGGGTTTTACGGTCTGTGAGCGCGATATCGCGAACAATGCTGCGAACAGAACGAAAGAGGGCGAGACGCTCATTCCAACGAGGGGGGCCTGTCCATGCTAGTCCTAAGAAACGCGGAGGGAGCGCGCTTTGAAAATGGCACATTTTCGTAATCGGCCGCGTCGTCGGCGCGCACGTGCGGCCGCCAGCACATTGAAAATAATTTATTTCAGAGTAAATACTTTACTTACAGGAATAAACTTTTTGGACAGCATTCTTTATGAGTTGTAAAAGCTGGTCAGCCTATTTTCCAAAAATGTAACTTTTTTGAAAAAATCGCGATTTCTAGACCGTGCCTCCCCTTAAGTCAAAGCGCAGCCGATGCTAGGAGCCAATGGGACCAATGAAACAGCAACAAAGTGCAACACCATGGCATTTGTCACCTTCCTTTCGTGTTCTTTCATCAGCTAAACCAGTCAAGTGCAGCGAACGTTCCGTGACTTGCACTTTTAGTATGTCCATTCATGGTTGTATGTGTTCGAGCCTTTGACTGTGTTCTGACCTGTAGACAGAACAAACTATATGGTGAGTAGACGCACCATGAAATACATATTTGTACCATCTTCCTTCCTTCCTTTCCAATTCTCTGAATATAAAAGTCAACCAATAATAAGATATTTTTTACTTTTCGTTTTGGATAATTTCGGCGCAGGTGGTGCAATTCTTAGCAAAACAAAATGGCATTTTGGCACAAGATGTAGAAGACTTTCGTTTATGGTGCAAATGGCACCGCACTTCCTTCACTAATACCACCATTTTTGCTACTGTTTTAAAGATAAAAGCATGCAGGCCATATCAAGAAATGACGTAGAGCCAAATGGTTTTCAGGATGGGGCTGCAATAATGACAACGGTAATAAGGAATTTAGGGGTGCAGCAGCCACAAAAGCTATAGTGTGCCAAGCTAAGGTGTCCACAATAAAATGGTCAGTAAGATCCTAGCCAACACCTGGGAGGAAAGTGGGGCAATGTGCCGAAAGAGAAGAAAAGGGGGTTGGGTTGCACACATGGTGCCATACACCTTTGTGGTTTGCAGAAGACATTGCCTACCTTGCCATCCTCGGACATGATGTGGTGGCCTCGAACCTGGTCTGGCCGCACCAGTTTGCCTGGCCACGAGGGGAAGCCCTTGATTTGACCCCACACCAGGTCCCCAATGTCAAACGTCCGGGGCTGGGGGGGAAGCGGGGGTGAGTCCCGCTCTTCCTCTGGAAAAAAAAGGGGGCCATGAGCTGGGCTGCCTCAGACCTTTAGCAACTCTTACAAGAGAAACACACAACTGGAAACTGGAGGATGCCCCAGATATCTTATGTGACAGAATGAGAATCGCAGAGTGCTCAAATATTAATAAGTATTATGTTTCTAAAAAAAACAACTTGTTTTCATGTATACTTCATTCTATTCCATTTCAGTAAGAGCAAAGAAGCTACAAAAGCAAGCTCCATGCTTTGCATGGGTATGTTGTGCATGCACGCTTGTGTAGCGTAACCGTCGCTCGAGGTAACCCTCTCACACTCGTAACTTTGTCTTCGCTTGCACTTGGTGTAAAACAAGGTACGGTAATATTGCACTAGCCCACTAAAATCATTTCATTAACGGTTTAGGGTATTCATTGAATGTGAAAATGTAGCCATCTCTACGACGTCTTACGAATGAGAACTAACATGCGGTTCTTTGACCTTAGAGCAGCGAGTAATGACACAAATGTTTCTCGCCGCTGCTGGCAGATCGGATGCGTGGCTCACCGTCTGAGTCGTCTCTGAACTCGTCCTGCATCAGGAACAACAGCTCTCTCCTCCTGCGCTTGGGGTCCCGCTTGGCTTTCTGTTTCAGTGCTCCGTCTCCCCCGTCCGACGTGTTGTCCTTGGCCTCTTCCGCGAGGGTCGAGAGTCCTCGTGACGGCTCGTGGCTCGACTCCACGCCAGAGTCCCTGCCGCCCGTCGTGGCCTCCGGCTGCCGTCCTTTGTCCGGCACGTCATCCACTGGAAAGTCTCTCTGCTGCAGGTGGCTCAGATCGAGCGCCGAGCAGCCGGAGTCATCCGCTGCTTCCGTGCTCGACGAGATGTGCCCCTCCTGCTCCGTCCCCACGGACTCCCACTCGGGCGCCGCCTGGTGGTCGTTGGGGATGTTGTCTGACCTGACGACGACCGTCGAAGACACGGCCGAACTGCCTTCGTCCTCTGCCGGCACTGCCACGCTCTGCACCCCGACACTGCGCGCACACAGGCGACCGCTCTCGCCGGACTCGCCGAGGCTGTCGCCGGGACTGTTGTTGCCGGGGCTGCTGCAGTTGCAACACGCCGAGAAACCCCCGCTCTCCGGCCTCGCTGCCTCGCCCTCTTCCGTCACGGCAGTGAAGAACCGCTCTGAGTTCTCGCACTCCTCGCTACCTTCCGCACATTCTTCCAGGCCTTCGGAGTCGTGGTCGACGTAACACGTCGTCGCCGATTCCTCTTCGGACGTGCAGTCCTGGACATCGTCGCAGGAGTTGTCGTGGGATCCGTCGTGGATGCAGACTTCGCTGACCTCTTGATGGAAAGGAGGAACCGGCGCTGACGTCGGGTTGACGTCCTGACTGGTAAAGGAGGGTAGCCCGAGCTTTTGTTCGGGCTGGTGCGTGACGGTGCCGCTGCCTGCGCAGGGGGTCTCTTGCAGGAGGGTAATGGAAGGCCCCACGTTGTGCATGGGCATGCCCAGGAGCCCCAGGGGCTGCATCATGCCCATCACGAGCTGGGGTGGGCTCACCGAGGGCAGGGCCCCGTAGTTGAGCAGGGGCGGCTGCACCACAGGGCCCTGGCCAGCCGGAAACACGGTGACCGTGGGCAGCGTCGTCTGCTGCAGGCCGGACACGGTGAGGCTCACCACGTTCAGGGGGCCCCTCCCGACCTCCGTGGGGCCGCACTTGGGCTTGACCCCGCCGTCGTCCTGGGGAATGGAGGAGGCGCCACTTTGGCTCGTGTGGCTAGCTATGTGCCACATACTTAGCTTGCCACCTGTACCTCCTAGCCTTAGTCACACCGACTTCTAAGCCCGGACACTTAACCGATGCACCAAAAGCTAGGACTGAATGCAGTTTAATTGGATACCGGTGTTTTGTGTCATAGCTTGGCTTGCACTCGAAACAATAAATGTTTCGTCACACTTTTAGATTCGTGGTCTATTGGTGTGGTGATGGACATCACTAAACGCCAACACTAGTTGTGCTCATTGCAATGGCAATGCAAAGTGGTGTCATCATATGAAACCATCTACACTGGTTTGATAGGAAATAGCCCATTTTCTACCGTGCATCCGAGATGTTAGTTGACTAGACCTACAATATGGAAATGCACGTAACTCGCCATGCTGCAAAAAAAGAAAACATATTTGCTTTGATTATAGCGCAATTAATGCAAAGGTACAAGTGAGCTGGACAAGAACGACTTTTGTCCCACATGTTCCCCTTCTCCAGGGGTTATTTTCGTCATTCTTGTCCAGCTTGCTTGCACCTTTGCATTAATTGCACTATCCTCATAACCTTAAAATGAAGGGTATTCACCCTAGTTGGTACTAGACTGGTGGCAGCTGATAAAACCAGACTGCTCTACTGACGTCTAACTCCTGGCTAGCTCAGTTGGTAGAGCACTCAACTAGAAATAGAGAGGTCCCATGGTTCAATCCAAGGACACGGTAGACTTTTTCAGTCACACACCAGTCACCTAGCTGTGTCTGGAGATTTGAGTTTGTCCTTCGTCCCCTGTTTCCCTTCCCCAGGGATTATTTTTGTCATATTTGTTTTACAGCAAGAAGTCAGTCTGCCTTGCAATGGAATCGCTAATTTCAGTAAATATGCCTCTAATTATAGTACGGCATACATTAGTATAAAGAGCTTCGATGGGCTCACTACCAAAGTCAAGTACTATGCCTTGTCTTTCAGTGCAAACTTTGTTTCCAGTTTTAGAAAGCTGAAAGTATGAGATCCTACCTTGATAGCATCCTCCTTTTATACGGGCACAAATGAAGGCTGAGGAAAAGCACTGTGCCTTTTTCGCAGTTTCCTGACTAATACAAGTTTGGGAGGCTGATAAATGTAAAAAAAGAAAGTGCAATAATGAAGTGCAACAATGTTTGGACCTTGGTTAAATATTTGTAGAGGTTGTCCAATGTAACGTCTGGATTAAAGAACTGATAACCAATTTTGCCCACTTGTGCTAGCATGTTAGTTCTTTTTAAAAAAAATTGTCAAACAATTGGCATTTTGGGCACTTCCCAACCACTCTCGACTCTTACACCGTCGAGTCACGTGCGCAAGTGACGTGCTCCCGGGTGCACTAGGGAGTATTCGGTAGGGTTCTCTTTTAGAACATCCAGCACGAGAGGCCTCTGCTTGCAATTCACATGGCAACCTTGAAGGTCGGTCTGACAGATGTGGAGATAGAGGGGGAGGGGAAGCACGAAATGTTTGCTTTGTTTTAAGGAAGTTGGACTGACGTAGCAGCAGTCGGGTGAGATTGAAGGGAGGAATTTTTTTTTTTTTTTCCACCTCGGGCACATGGCACCACTAAAACGGAATATAGTAAAATTTTGTCGATGATATGAGGCTTTTGACGCATTTACTCATGTGAAAATGACAATAATTATAAGGCATAGCGTTAGATTGAGCACATAATGGCACATATTGCCAACTTGTTACAAGACACCCAGGTATGCGCTACGCCTTAGTTATGGCTGCCATCCTGCGGCTGCAAATCGCGAGATGTTCCCGATCTTTGCTTTGCTACCACGCAAAAGGAATCGCAATATTTAAAAAAAATGAGGCGGTTTCTCCATCCCTTCTGGTAAAATAAACAATATAAAAATTGAGAAAATGCAAATTCTCTCAGAGCCAAAGCCACAAGTGCGAGCTAGCCCGCACTCCTGGATTTGAGACGTGCCTTTATAGAGTGAGCGCTCATTCAGTGGAAGAATGTTTCAAAGTCTTGATCTCGTGCTCTCATGCTTGTGGCATTGGCTGCAGTCCCGGCTTAAGGGTGAATTAAGTATAGAAGGAGCCATTCGCTCACACCTAGGAGCTTTCAAAGACTGTCAAACCTGATAGAAACTGCACTAGGATTGGCCTGACCGAGGTTTGCAAGCCGCATGCGACTCCTTACATGTGGGCATGCAGAGCATAATATCGTGGGAGTATGAATATCTGGGGCCAATAGGGAACAAAAATTACTTCTCTTCTTGAAAAGCTTGCAATGAGTGACAGGCTGATGTAAAGACAAAGCCAATTCCTTCCTGGTCTATGCTGACGAGTCATTCAGCACATCATAGATATCCAGAATGAAATGGGTGGATGCAGATAATTAAAGGAGCTGTGCAACGATTTTAACGTTGAAAGAATTTGTGTTTTCTACTTTTGACATTGTTTATCTTGTCAAAAAAGACAGAAAACCCACCTCCTTCCTTCGAAATGTTGCAATTCCACCGCGTTATCGTGAGACGAAAATTTTAATATTCCCCGACCTGCAGCCGCGAGCGGCGGCCATGAGAACCACGTGGCATGATGTCAAAGGGGGTCTTGTAGAAAGATAGCAAGTTCTGCGAATACCTGCTCGATAAAAGGTAACTTTTTTATAAATCTTGTCGTTCCAACATAAATATAAATGCGTCAAAAACCTGGTATTATCCGACAAAACATTTATTATACGGAGTTTTAGTGGCGCCATCTATCCTAGGTCCAAAAAACTGTGAGCTCTATCTGCTACCGCGAACAGCCGCCACAAGCCGGAGGGGGACGGGGGCACAGCGTGGCAGTGGTGCTAAGCCAGACAAGGATGGCCGGACCTGGATGAGACTTTCCTCCTTTCACCATATTGTTTGCGCTACACGTGGTCACGCGGTCGCGAGCGGATGAGTTTTCTGTGCTCACTGATGGCTCTGAAGAGAGAGCTTCACCGGGACCCTGCGCAACCCCCATTGACGTCACAGTGCACGTGACTCGGAAGATGGTGAAGGAGTTCAGGGGTGCCGAAAACCTCAATCTTTTTCAGTTTTTAAAATAAAAACTAGGACATAAAAGCAAAAGCGTTTTTTTGCTCTTTACTTCAGTAAGGTCGAGACACCAACTCCCAAATTATTTAAGCAAAGCACAGAAATTGTTGCACGGCTCCTTTAACTTCGTTAAATTTTGTTGACAGCAGAACAGATATGGAAACAACCTTCCACAAACAGTGGCAGGATGCAATTTTCATTTTCTGTACACTAGCAGTGGTGTAGCATGCTTACACGTGCAAGACTGCAGATTGGTACTCAGACCATGACTGCCTGATGCTGTAACGTCCGAGTCCTTCATCTCGGTGTACGGCCAACACTGAAGATAATATAAACATTTTCCAAGTTTCTCTGAACACCACAAACTGCAAGTCCACAAAACTGTATGGAGCGTTCTCTCGGGTACTAGAGACCCCTCTGATCGCTTAATTCTTTCCGTACCATGCCCACAGGCTGTAGATCACCCATAATCAATGGTTTCCGTCCGCCACCAAAATTCTAATTTGGCGTGCAGCAGAGCCATATATTGGGAGAGTCTGGCCAGTGGGTGTGGCAACGAGGGTGCTGGAAAGGAGAAAAGTGAAGGAAAGAGAGGAAAGCGTCAAAAGAGTGAGAAAGAAAAAAGAAGCAAAGAGGAGACGACTGCCATTTTGACGCAACGCTGTCGGAGCACAGCACTGTTGAAGCTACGCGTCGTCTGCTACGGGCCGACTTCTTTTTTGCCTGAATAAAAGCTACGTCGAGAAAACTTCATTTCTTTGCTTTTTAACCCACCGAGGAATAACAGTATATCATTTTCTTGCCAGAGCCAGCAATATAAAAGCAAATAACTGCAATTTAGATGCCGATCTCATGCATTCTGCCGAGTGAATGAATGAAAATGGTGCATCCCCCCGCTCAGCTGGGAGCAGCCAGGAGTTAACGCGCATGTGCTCACACCTCTCGCTCTGCGCCGCAGGCTCATTGGCTCACTCAAGAGGAGGGCGTTACGGCTGCGAGATCATAGACTGGCCAAACTCTCCCTGTATACAACTCCGGCGTGCAGGAACACAGTGCGCCATCTCGATAAGAGCCTAAGAAGTACAACTTCGGTTTCAATTTTGCAATTTCTCCCAAGCTGGTGAGCTATCAAAAAAAAAAAATCTCTGTGCGACAATGGCACTTGTCAAACATGACGTCTTGCTGACATTAGGGGCCACTACAAAGACAGCCTCAATCACACGATTTAACTGCTTTTGTCGATTGTATGACAGCAGCAGTGAACACTGTGGATGATGTCGGATAGTTTGATTTTAGTTCCTAGAGCAATGTTTTATCTTTAAGGTGCAGAATATCGACGGGTGCTCGTCGGAAAGTGATGTTCTAAATTTTAGGCTGTCCCGAGCTGGGGCACACATTTTATGTGCGCCACAAGCTATGGAAACAGCAGCAGGAGAGAAGTTAAGGAAGTGCTAAGAGAAACCAAGCTTTTGTACAAAAGAAAAAGAAGTGCTCTGGAAGACATTCAGTTCTACATGCAACATCATCTCTGTGTGACATGACACCATGAAAGCTCGCTAGCTGACCGACCAAAAAAAGACAGTGCCAGCTAGAGACAAACTTACTTACAGAAGTGATAGCGGTGTGCATGGGGCACTTTATATATTTAGGAGTTTTTAAAATCATACTATAAATTGATATAACCCCAAACGTTAAAAAAAAAAAATCTCCAAATTCCAAGTTTAGCATTTAAACTTGACAAACATCCTTTGTGCATTTGTACAGCTTTATGGACTTGCAGTCTATGGTGCAAAGTAAAACTTTGAAAATAAAAGTACAGTCTTCAACATTAACTGTTCACCGAGATGAACGACCCAGAAGTTAGAGCATTAGGCAGTCATAGTCTGAATACCTATGTTTTAATGCATCATTTGATGCATCATAATTAGCAATATGTTTACTACTCTTTAAAATAAAAAAAGAATGTGCAAGATTGAACACTAGAACACCATTTTATGGTCGCGTCTTGCCAGCTTTGCCAAGGGCTTTAGACTGGGGCAGAAGAGCAGAAGGACTCAACAGATGGCCGACGCGGACGCGCCGCTTTCATGGCTGCATTTTAGGGCATTCCATGGGAGGTAGTAGAGTATGCTCTAATAGCAAACATACGCTGCTACGCGTCTGCTATGCTCCCACGACTAGCAGACAATGTCAGACCTGCAGACAACATGCATCGAATGTCGCGACAGGGGAGCATCAGGGAACGTGTCCAGCCAAGCTGCCAAGCCAATCCAGTAGTAATGGGCGGGGCCACCGTTCTGCATGGTGGTAGGGCGTGGGGCCTCAAGCGGGTGGTGAACTTCACCTAAATTGCACCTAGCATCATAAATTATGCACACAAATGCTTTATCTTTTTTGTGGAAAATTTATGAAAACAGAAGTGTCCCTATAAACCTTTTGGGGCTCATGTGAGTTTTCCCCCTGTAGGCTCCTCTAGTCAAAATTAGTTTAAGCGAAAAAAGATCAGATCAATGATCTCAAATTCAACTCTTCAATATACTATGATCAGTATATATCAGTATGAATTATTGAACTATACTAATGGTATTTGCACAGCGTATGATACTTTTCAAAGCAAATGCTGGGGTGCAAGCCAGGATGCCAAGTGAAGGTTTTACAGTAGAAAACAGTTCCACATCTTTGCCCTTTGTCTTTCCTGTCACTACAGACTGTAAAACGCAGACGAAGTAAAGGCTGCCATCTTGAACGCCCAAAAGCACGTGCAAAATGCCTGCCCCCGCAACTAGCAAAAAAAGAAAAATATGGGTTGTGTCTTTTGCGGGATTGGTTGGTGGGACAAAAAACTAAATATGCATAGTTTACATACCCGACAAGAGATGGTGCAAGTTGAAATTGTCGGGAAGCGCCCGACGCTTGACCGCAAAGGAGAAACGGGTCTGTCGGGGGAGCACCAACACTTCTCCAGAACAGGAATATCTATTTGTCGGAAGATATCCGACAGATGACCCCAAAAAGCTAAGCATTTAGAATTTTTTATTGTTTTTAATTTTAGCATAATTTGAAGGATGGTGATGAGAAGTGGACATACTACATTCTCGTACCTTTGCTGAACAACATGGTCACAAGTTGCTTATTTCTAAAGAGGAGCTTCGAGACAACACCACAGCGCAAGAGGACCAATGTGTATTTAAATACTTTATATGGCATTCCCATAGCACTTAAAGGAACATGTTGCAGTGGCATTCCTACGGCATTCAGAGAAAGGGGCATGTGGCAATGTTTGGTCGCGTCCTTAAAAGTGAAAAAGGGCATGCGCGATTGTGATTCCAGGTTTCGTAGGATACTTAGGGTGCCTAGATGGAATTTGTGCCATAAAAACATGATCTGAAAATCCACCTTATTTCCCTTTAGGAGTTTCAACTATCTGCAGTTGCAGTGGGTACATTCAAAAGCACTTCCAGTTATGCTGGACTCTCCGCGTTGACAGGTGTGGACTCTGCAGACTACAATCAAGCACCGGACATGCTTGTTTTGTCTGGTCAGTTTACAAATATCTACAGGTAAAATCTGCTAATACTGTCGACTCTCACAGGTAAGTTTTCTATCACAAGAACTATGTCACATCTATAGGCCCCCCTGAATCTGGCAACAAGGATGGAAAAAAAGTGTATTTATACAGGCCCAAGAATGCTCAATGGGCCCCCCCCTACCCAGAAGCCCGGGCCAAACAGTGCAAGTTTCTGCTAGTCTTGGGCACGGCTTGATCTCTTCAGCTGCTAGACCAAAGTCCAAATTGTTGACACATGCTTTCTCGCTTGTTTTGTTTTTACAGTGACAGCTGTTAGTGGCCCATTCCCCAATTTCATGATGGCGTGAGCATAAACGCCGTCAGTTTCCCTGCTAAATTTAACGGAAAAATTAGCATCACATGACCTATGCACCATTTCAGTTTCCCCGCCAAATTAGGCGGGAAAACACATCACGACCTTAAACTCACTTATTTATCAACAATGTATCGACGCTAAATCAATGCAATGTCATTTCAATATCAGATCTCCATATGATGCACGATCAGAGCAATGTCAAATGATTTTCACCGTCATGGCATCGAATAAGCAGCACAGCTGTCGCTGTCTACACGCATCTCATTGTGTGATCATCGCACCATTTTTTTTTTTTTACAGGCACTGAGCAAGCTTCTTGCATTGATCTGAAAATGCTGTAGTATTATTCTGCCTTTATTCTTGATAGCCATATGTCCTAATAGCCCTCATTTCAAATGCTTCCAGGTAGCTTGTTTGATACAAATGATTTCAGTTGATTTGAATGTTGCTCGCTCTGTAGCAAGAGATAGAAAGCAACCTCAATAAAGAGGCCGTGTTGTCTCTGCATCGTAACTATCCAACATACCTACATTGGCATCTTTGTCATAACATTATCTTTGGAGCATTAACTATATGTCCTCTCTTTCAGTCTCACATGCCATTATTGGGCTGCTACTCCCCCTCTAAATTGTGGCGTAGAGCAGCATTCCTTCTTAATGGACCGAGCAGGCGTAACACTTTGCCAGGCCTGCTATGGTCTTGAGCTCAGGTGTCCCTACTTAAATCAGCCTCAGCTGGGACCAAGTGAATTTGATTTCCGTCAGATTGTAGCCAAATTCAGTTAAGCTGCGAGCCTTGCGAAAAAGGCTAGGCATCGAAAGGGTAGGTCTGTGCTGTACTCTATTTAGGCTCCTAAATACCAAGTTTCAAATTAGTTAATCTGCATACTTGCTTGACACCAACAGCATTGACGAACATACAGTGATGCTACTTTTAATAGTGCGGCAAAGGGTTTGTTCAGTGATAAACAAAACGAAGGAAACCTTTGTGTTGCTGGAAGCAGTTTCTATGCAACTGCAATGCACTTCGCGCAGACTCAAGCTAGAATTGCAAGTTCCCGATTAGCGGCATCTGTTACATACTGCGAACAGGAAACTAGTAGTTACTACCAGCGGGAAGTGTAATCCCATAAACTCATTTCCCTCTGCCATTGCACTATTTAATGAGGAACAGCAAATAAACTTCCGTTCTGCTCCATTACACTTGGCTCCAGTATATCAATTTCAAATAATGAGCAGCCATTACGTTTAACATTTTTTAAAACTTTATAAGCCAACACCACCCATTAGCTTATTTTCCTGTTCCCAATCAGTAACTAAACATTCCTGCTTTTAACCCACAAAACACCTATCCTGATTTAGGTCACAAGTATACATACCACCCTTGGAGATATAGGAACAAGGTACAGAACTGTTGGCTTTCTGTGTGTATCTTTCAGAGATGTTGTCAGCTGAAAAAAGTTATAGAACAATATCTCAAGCAGTGTCGGAAAACAAGAATCAACATAAGGGGTTTTGCAGATTGCCGAGTTGCTTACACCTACAGAAGTTTGTGAGGGGAGGTTTGATATAAAGACACCCTGCTTAGTCGGTAAGCAACAAGAAAAAACAAATAAGCTAAAAAAACAGACAATTGTTCAGCTTTTTTTTCTTCTTCTAAAATAGCATTCACAACAGCATTTTTTGGAAAAATAAATGTTAAAACGGCATGAAAAAAGACAAACTTTGCAGAAATGTATGGAGAGCAACGTCACGTTACCCGTGTCAAGGGAATTGGCAATTATAACATTCCTATAGTGTGATGGGAAACTCAAAAAAACATTGAAGGGCCTTTCAAGATTGTCTACTAATACAAGCTCTGAAAGTTTCAAATAACTTGCAGACATTGCAAGATGAAAGAATCCTATGGGATAATAAATAACAAGATTATTCTCCAGTTTCTGGTGGTTTCCAGTAAAGGTGACACTTTTATATGGCATTTGGGATGCAACCTCATAATGACTTGGTAGGCTTTTGAACTAGAAATGAACTAGCCCTAAATATTTTATGCCCAGGTGTAGAAAAATTGTTATTAATAACATGCCATTGAAAAAACAAAATGATACCAGAAAATTGCCCCCCCCCCCCCCCCCCCCCCACCAAAAAAAAAAAAAAGTTTACGAAAATTGTTTTGAGTTACTATTTTCTAGAACAAATGTTTTCACAAAAACTGTTCCTGGAAAATATGGACCTGGCAAGAAAGACTACTCAATTATTTGTGACTGCCAAATTTTATACGGCATAATTTTTTGTCTCTGTTTATATAGCAATCTACCTTATGCACACATTTTAGATTAACTGATTGTTCAAATGCCATTTTTGCCGATAGCCTGCTTAGAAAGCAGCGTTTTTTTAGCAGTAATTATGCATGCCCTATAGGTCCTTTTTATCACCATCAGGTTTCTAAAAATAGTGTTTTTTAGCACTTTGAAATTCATAGCTTCATACATAGCAACAACTGTGGTGAAAACAAATCAAAATATGCCTAATGATCTTTATAATAAATACATAGGTACATTGCTCGAGAGCAACCTAGGCCAGTTATGCATTCAAAAACTGAAATTATGGAATAAACCTTTTAATGGGGAGGGTCTCGCAAACCCTACCTATGACAAAATATAATATTTTTAGTCATCTTAGCATTTAGACAATGAAAAATATGGGGAGGGCTGTTGGATAATCTTTTGCAAGGGTGGCCGAACTGGCTCTTGGCGTGTTAAAGTGCGGCTCGCGGTCCTTCACTAACTACCTAGCCCCCCCCCCAACTTCCCCGCCCCCCTCCCGGTCACACGAGCACTTCCCCAAAAAGAGAAATGGAACGCGTTTTAAATCGAAAGACAGGTTGCGGTTTGGTAATCTTGTGCTACCTTACGTACAGTTGAACAGCTTTTGACTCTGGTAGATTAAAAGTAGTTCAGTTTCGTTTATTGCTCTGGACAAAAGTTTGCACCCCCCCCCCCCTCCCTGCGGCTCTTGGATGTTTCGTGGTTTTGTTTGCGGCTCTTAGGCCGAGTCAGCTTGGCCACCCCTGATCTATTGCTAACAGCTCATGCCACAGTGACAATAGCAGGCAAAAGTAGTGTAAGTGGCACATTTGGGACTATTTCTTTCTACTTGAGACCAGATGATCTTTACCAGGAACAATATTTTGGGGATCATTTGTTTCATAGGAAATGTTTATTTCCATTTTTCTTTTACACTTTATAAAGGGAAGCTAAAGCACTTTTCGGGAAATCTGAGTTAGGAGTGGAGTTCTATAGCTTTTCGTCACATGAATTCAGTTATCATACTTAACTTTGGCAGAGGTAAAAAGCATTCATTTTGAAAAATATGAGCAGCGATTGGCGCAGGACATGCAACGAGCCTTTCTACCGCCTGTTATCTGTCCAAAGCGTCATGACATCCCGTTGGAATCCCCGAGCCAGCTGACCATGCCGATGATGTCGTTTTTGCTAGTTTTTCTTCGTGCTCTTCTGTGCTTGGCGCGCCACAATGGGCGGGGCTACGACGAATCTTTATTTGGCGATTACGAAGCTCCTATTAATAAGATTGCAAGAAAACTAAAGACATATTACTTGTAAAGTGCCTACGTTAAAACATTCACTGTTTTTTTGTTTTTTTCAAATTCAAGGATTGCTTTAGCTGCCCTTTAAAGATACGACTTGTAGTACACTTGAATATTACACTGTCTCCAAAATACAAAGTACAGTAAACAATTTTATGGGACAAAAGTTGGCATATTCTAACGTCTTGAAACTAAAGCTGCAATTCGACAAAACACAGTCAATATTTCCTGTGCAATGTTAATAATGAAGAACATTTGATGGGTGAATGAAAATGTTTTAATTAAAAAATGATTACATGTACATGATGATATCATGATGACTCTCCAATGATATGCACATCATGCAGGTTATGATGATTAGCAATCCTTCTTGTTTAAATAGGTAAAACTAAAAATGAGTTTCCTGCAAGCGTGTGCACAAATGGAATAAAAAAATGACTAAATTAACAAAAGAAACTGGCTCTCTTAGAGGTGGCATGCATATTTTCATACATTTATAAATACAACAACATTGCCCTTTTCAACCTACAACAGACAAACAAATGCAAATTGCCCTGCTGCTTCCATATGTAAATTCCATCGACATTGTGAGTTATTGGTAAATAACAACCTTCCTACCCCAAATAACAAAGAAAAACAAACTCGTGGGCCTGAATTAGCTCTAAACAATGCCAGTGATATAATATTTCACAAACATGACCCAAAAGGTGGAGTCTCAGGATAGCAAAGGGTTACAAAGGAAATATGGACTGATCTTGAATGATATCGAAGTAGAACGTAAACCAGCAAAGAAAGGATGGAACAGACTACAGTGCTGCTTTCCAGTCATCCTTTTTTTTTTTTTCAGTCTAATTTTGAGCAAAAGAGTTGGACGTAGGAATCTGTACTCTCATTCTGTGCAAACGAGAACACCTCGAAGGAGAGCCTGATCTGTCGTGCAAGCAGGTACTATATCTCTATCATTTTAGAATCTTTTGCAATGAAACCGATAGCAAATGAAAAGTTGATGTTTCCTCAATTTTGTAGATGTCCACAAATCTTGCAAAAAAGATTTAGTCTGAGAGGCTAGAATGGCTTTTGAACTTTCAAGTACTTCATTTATAACAACCTAACTTGAGGCAATATGGGAAGAGCTTGATAACAAACTGGAGTTTCATTCAGGCTTCCTTGCAACCACGGCACATCTTAAAAAGTAAGAAAAGATACACTACTTGTGCCTTGAAGGGATAAGTGCGTAAATATGACTATAATAAATCTCGTTGGCATTGATCTGAAACTCTCATTAAAAATCTGTCTTCGCGCCAAACTTTCACTCCGCAAAGAGAGCTGTAACCAGACATGGTCCGGAGATTGCACCCTAAAGGAGGGCACAAGGATGCATAGAGTAGCCCAAAGTTAAAAAAACAAATGTGCCTACCGAGGAAAACGACCAAACTCTACATTGAACAAGTTCCAACACGCTTTCCGGTTAAGAGTTACTCAAGGCCGCACGTTCTGCACCTCCGAGCGCTGCAAGAAATGGCCGAAGGCCCCCACCACCCTTGCTACGCGAGGAACCCGCCTCGAGAAGGAGGGGTGCCCGCAACCCCGAACGCCGGGCGGCCACCACTCACCCCATTGGCCATGCCCAGCCGGCAAACGTTGACGTCGCACACAGAGTCTGTCAGGGCGCTGGGTCCGCAGGACACACAGTGCTGCTGCCCCAGCGGGTTTCCCTGCAGGGCCCCTGCCTGGGCCCCGATGGCTTCGGCGTAGAACTGCTGCTGGTGCACAGTGCCCACGTTGAGAATGGAGGGGCTCGAGCCGGGGTCGGAGCCAACGGGGGAGCCTAGCACCGGGATGGGAGACGGGGACAGGAAGGCGCTGCCGGGACTGAAGAGGCCAGCGGGAGAGCCGAACCCCGGCAGCGCGTCCAGCCGCAGGGTAGGCAGCTGTGGGATGAGCAGCGCCGCATTCTGGTTCAGCGGGTTGATGAGCTGCACCACCGTGGGCACCACTTGGGCCACCGTCGTGGTGACGTTGGTCACGTTGGGCACGGAGAGCGGCGGCATGGCTGGCTGGGCAGGCAGCACCAGGGTCGAGCACTCCACGGTGCCGCCGCACGTCCGGGGCCCCTCCGCCAGCCGTGGTGAGAAGTGGCCCAGCACGGGCTGCTGCAGGAAGGGCGCCCCGGAGAGCGTCCTCGGGGGCTCCACGAGCATCGGCCGGTGCGAGGCAACCCCCATCTGCTGCTGAATCGTCTTGGCCTCCGAGTAGCCCTTTTGGTTGTACACCTGCTGCACCACAATGCCGCTCCCAGAGGTGTTCGGGGAGTGCGCCACTGCAAAAGGGGCCGCCGACACAGTCACGCTGCACTGCGTCTGCAGAGGCGACGCCGACACCAGCGACAGCCCATTCTGGGGCAGCAGCCCCACCTGGGTGCCGTGCGAGAGGCCCGGCCCGCACCGAGAGGTCACGAACCGCGGCACGGCGTACTCGTGGGGCCCGCAGGCGGCGTACGTAGTCCTTGGAGGCACCTCCCTTGTGGGGCACGGCACAAACGGAAGGGCCACTGAAGACGGCGGCGCATGGCTCTCGTGGCCGGAGCACCCGTAGTACGTCCCCTGGCACGGGTAAGTCCTCGCGGCCCCCGCCATCTGCCCCACGTCCACGTTGGGACACGCTGCCCGATTGGAGATGATGGCGTTCAGCTTGGGCATCCTCGTGCGGGGGTTGCTCTTCCTCTGGGGCTTGGGGCGTGCGCCGGAGACCCCGACGTGGCCGGTGGTTCCGGGAAAGGAAGGGGGACTGGAACAGGCGTTGATAAGAGTGCCACCCTGATAAGAGTGTCCCAGGAACGTGCCCTGGGACACCGCCGTACCCGCCCCGTTTGGCAGGGGAGGAATGTGCTGGCACTGCACCACATTCGGCTTGAAGCCAGTCTGCCACGGCGGAGTGGGCGAGTGGCTTTGCTGGAGTGTTGCCATGGGAACGGGGCTCGAATGGGACACCGGAGTCGTCTGCTTGTGCAAGGCCCCACGCCGGTCCAGCTGGGCCAGTAGCTGGGACACCAGGACGCCGTTGAAGGGACCCCGCTGCTTGGCGCGGGAGTTGCGTTTCCGTGTGGTCTCTGTTCAAATGGCGAGACAGCGGCCTTAAGATTTTCTCGAAGTAAATCCCAGAGCTGCACCACATGCAAGGTCAACAGGGGAATTCCCCTGTGGACACCGTTGTGTGCTGACGAAAGAATTAACTCTTTTGTCAACTCAGTCAGTGCTCCCTTTTAGAAATAGTTATACTGTTCTCAAACGAAACAACTTTCCAAGTAGGCTGCAGCAGCCTCCAATGCACTAAGTAAGCTGCTTAAAAGGTGTGGTCAACAGTACCGAAACCACAGCACCAACAATAAAAGGCTGAACAGATGGCCAACCTAATTCAGGCTGAAGTTTTGGCACTCTGTTGTCACCTCTTGATTGCGATAATTATTTTTTTTTTTTTTGTCAGGAAAAATGCATTTTGTGGCATACATGACCCATTTGGACAGCTTGAAACTAAACTTTTTTTGTTTCCTTGGCAAAGCATTGTTCCTTTAATGCGGTGGTTCACCAGTGGGAGTTTGCGAACCCTTTGGGGTCTCCGAAGGCCTTCTTAGGGTTCCCAAAGCTCGACCGTCAGTCAAGCCAAGCGACAAAACTTTCCTTCAATTGATGCTGGTTGTCGCGTAAAGCTAAATTGTCCCAAATCACGGCTGATTTTCCTCCATTTCACGGCATCAAAGTTGGTTTGCATCATCTAGCTTTCTTCATGTGCCCTTTAGTCGTTATAATTGTCAAACTTCCCTCTCCACCAGTGGACAGGACTCCCCATCTTTTCTGCCGACATAGAAGGAACCCCAGAAACATTAGTGGTTGAGAAAGAGTGTTTTAACAGGTCTGAAAGATTAAACAACTTAAAAGAAAGCGTTCAGGCGTCGCCTAGCCCTCTGCACCTTTTCTCGCCGGCTTGACCGGTGCAGGCACCGAGGTGGCGGGCACCGGAGTGGCAGGGGCCGGGACGGTGGGAACCGAGGTGGCAGGAACTGGTTTCGCAGGAAGCGAGGCTGCCGGCACCGGGACCGCGTGCACCGTTGGAGGTGGCACAACCGCCGGTGGAGTGGTCCTGGTCGTAGTGGTGGTGGTGGTGGTGGTGGTGACCACGGCCGCGATCGGCAGCGTCCGGCAGGGCCTCTGCGAAGGGCGCCCGGTCGCATCGTCCCCGGGCGACCAGGGGAGCGACGGAGCGGCCGGGTCGAAGCTGAAGGTCCTGTCCAGGGCCAGGGGGCAGTCCAGGCCGCACTTGCACACCCCTTCCGTCTGCAGGTAGGCTGCCACCTCCTCCACGCTGCGCAGCTGGTGGTGGCTGGGGCTGCGGGAGCACAAAGGATCCTCTTGGCAAGGTCGTTGACGCAGAATCAGGGCTTCTCGCAACGCTCCCATACTCCGTTTCACCTTACGTCCGACCGTGGCGGACGCTACGAGTCGTCCCAGTCAATCCAGCTCACTGAACGTAGCACGCGATGCGCTCTCCGCACGTCGCTGCGCCCCCTCCGAGGTCACGTAACATTCCCACTGTTTCGGATTAGATCCACTAGCTCATAGCATCTGCTGCGGTTGGTCATAAGGTGAAATGAGGTATAGCTGTCAACTCTAATCTCACTAAAAAAAGAAAAAGAAATAAAACAAAAGAAATTAAATATTTGCGATTGTGGCATCATCAGTGCAATGTTGACTGAACAAAAGAGAGTGTCTGTGTGCAGCAGGACTTGGCGTTGGACTACTCTTTACTCTGGTTCCCCTCATGATGGACCGTTGTAAATGCTATGCGCCAGGGAGTCGCTCCAATGCAGTGAGGGTGTCACGAGACTCTTGGGAGCACCAATGTGGAGGTTGTGTAGTCAGGTGGAACGTTCTGAGAGCTGGATTGACTGCAATGGCTCATAGCGTCCGCTGCGGTCCATCGCAAAGTGAAACGGAGTACATCAAACTATGTCAAGAGGCTAAAACTTTTTTGTTTGCCGCTCGCTTTTTTTTGTGGGTAGTTTGCGAGTATGGTATGTGTTAGCGTTGCAGTGTCCTGTGGGTGCTGAGTGATTTACTTGGAGTGCGAGTACTGTCCCTTGGTACTATTTTTGAGCGCTTTTATGACCGTGTAATTTGCATACGGTGTTTACGACAAAGAGCCATGTTCAGAAAACTAAATTAAGCGTCCATTGGCTTGGTTCTTGTTTCCATGGTATGGCTTTTGTCAATCACCCTTTGTAGTATATTTAATGCGGATGATGCTGAGTCAAACATGCCTTTATTTTCTAAACCACCGGCAGCTGTGAACTTTCCTTTTGCTCAACGCGGGAAATGTGTGGGCGGCCACAGTCTAAGGCAGGTGTAGAGGTGGTCGCCTTTATTTATTACTTTTTTTTCTTGACCGACAGGACGGCATACCCCGCTCTGTTTTGTTTAGCCGCCTGACGGCGCTTCGGTCGGGAGTGGGGAGGCGCTTTGGAAGTCGAGTGTCGCGTTGCAAGGGGTCCCGTGCCGTTACAAGTTGGAATTCTGCTTGTTTATGAGCTTTTCCCGGTATCGGGGAAATGGCCGCGGGCATTTCGCCCTCTTCGTTGCATTTCATGCGGAACTCTGGTTTTCGAACCCACGTGAAAACACTTAACTTGCCGACGAGAGGCTGCTGTCTTGGCGCCGCGTGCGTCTACCCATTGACCCTGAGACGCGAAGCCAGACGTAAAGGTTTGCCGGGGAACCCACGGCCGAGACATTAACACGTCACCGGTCGCCAGGTCGTTTGCTGGGAGACAAAGTGCTTCAGAGCTCTTGAAGTCGTGTCTCGGAACTCTTCCGTGACGCCCGGGAACCAGGCGTTCCCTATATATTCTGCATATGCCTGGCGGCGGCCTTTGGCGGTGGCATTGACGTGCCCCAGCCGACATGTCTCGATGGTTCTTGCCGTTCGCGAATGTGTATCCGCTGTGGCCAGATAGGAAAGCCATAAGTCTTATTTTATTCTCGGCTTCTGAGAACCAAGGCTCGGCTTATGGTTCACTCCCGGAGCAATGACCTCTCAGCCGATTGGTCGAAAGTGCGCTGTGTGTAGGCGTTAAAGTTTGGTTCCTCTGGCCAATGGGACCAGGGTCGAACCCTGATTGGCCTACGCAGGTTCGAGCCCGCTGTTTTAGACCCTGGTCGGACAGGGGAATCTTTGAGTTTTGGAACGGGCTCGTGAGCGACCCAACTGACGTTCAGCTCCCGCGGTGCGCCGCGTTACCTGTCGTGCGCGACAGCATCTTCGTCTTCGCGGCTACAAGGTAGTCGCCGTCCTTACCGTGCGCGGTAGGGCCATCCGACGCCGAGGCGTCTGTGCAGTCTGTAAGCCGTGCGCGGCAGTTTATTACAGTTCGCACTTGTATTTTATGTAACTGTTTGATTCTTTTTTTTTTTTTTTTTTTATCGAAGTAAAGTTTCGTTCATCTCGTTAACCCTCCGAGTTGTCGGTCGCCTCAGCATCACCACCAACGCATTCAGCCCTCCAGCAACTAGCTTCATCCACGATCCCCCGGTCCTCGACGGCAACGTCAAGGTGGTCCATCGAGGTCGGGGAAAACAACCTACATAACATCTACTGCAGGGGTGTACAACAAACTGCCTGCGGGCCACATGCGGCCTGCGAGCGCTTTTCTTGCGGCCCGTGGCCCGGCTCAGCACAGACACTCGCTTACTATGCGGTTCTATCCATTGAGCGCCCGCTCCGCTTGGCAAGCAGCAGTAAAACCCTGTGACCTACTTCTTTGTCTTCGGCGAAGTAACTACGATTTCTCAATTCAAATTTTCCCTCTTCACTAATCCCGCTGAGAACAATAAAACAGCATGTGCAGCTGTCCCTGTCCATGGTGTGGATCTGTCTCAACATGTCTGTACATGAAACGCAAAAACTTTTTGCTGTCTCTCAACAGATCTCTTCCCTCCTTCACCACGGACGCTATCAACCCTCTCCCTTTTTGTTGGAATAGTTAGGGGTCGCATCATCGGATTGGAGGACTGTGATCCGACGATGAAACTGGAGCTTATCGACCTCCAGTGTCCGCCGGCGCTGAAGACTATTCATCTCGAATTTCAGCTGCATGAGTTCTACAAAAGCCTGGACAAGAACAAGTACGGAAACCTGGTGCACCACGCCTAGAAATTGTTGTCACATTTCGGGAGCACGTATGTCTGTGAGCAAACCTTTTCACTGATGACTCTCAACAAGAACCGCCCTCGATCTTCCATGGCGGACATGACATTGCGACATGCGCGTACGACGGCAACGAGTGAGACGACACATGATATCGGAAGCCTGACCGCAACCAAAATGTGCAACACGTTACACTAGGTGCGGCCCGCACAGTTTTCGATAAACCAATTTTGGCCCGCCTAAATTTTTAGTTGTGCACCCCTGGTCTAAGGTATAGTTATGAACTGGTTCATGCTTGTTCAAACCAAACCGAAACAAAATGCAGAGCTACTGCACCCGAAACTGAACCAAAAATTTTACCAGTTCGACACCCTAAAAAATAGAAGCCGCCTGCTCTGGGGCTTCGATCACCTGTTGCCTCCGTCTTCTTTTCCAACATGTCTGTGAATTTTAACACCCTCTTGGATGTAGAGATACACTGTAACAAGACATCGGTGCTTTTTTGCATTTTTTTCAGAAACGATACAGATTGGCACCGAATTTTACCGCTTGGCTTATTTCCCTTAATGAGAACTTTCCGTCACATTACAGAAAAGTGCCATAAGGGCGGCCCCTCCCATTGAGAAACTGCCCATCTTGTTCTTCAGGCTAAATACCTAGCATAAGAATTCCAAAACATTGCTCACCTTGTTGGACAACATGCGCAAAACGCGCAATCTGTGGTACCGGTACATGGGACAAGAGTTTGTAGTAAGTTCACGCGTTTTTGTCCACGATCTGCGCATGTGATTTTGGTTCGGGTGAAATGCGAGTAGATCCCACGTTTAATGTATTGCGAAATGCAAGTCTGTTGCGTCCGCGATCTGCAGTATTCTTTCCCTTGGCATGCGAGTTTGTAGTGGGTTCCCACGTTTTTTGTCCACGATCTGCAGATGCGATAACGGTTCCCGTGACATTCGAGTCGTCCCCACGTGTTTATTACGCCGTGAAACTTAAATCTACTGCATCCGTGATTTGAGGTATCGGTTCCCATGACATGCGAGTTCACGGCAGGTTCCCGCACGTCCTTCGCACCGTGTAAAGCGAATCTGCTGTATCCGTAATTTACAATACCTTTTACCATGGTGGGACAAAAGTTTGTAACGGATTCCGGAGTGTTTATCACATAGCAAACGCAAATTTGCCATGTTTGCACATGGTTTGTAGCGGATAGCCCGGTGTTTTTTTAAACTTTTTTTTATTATAAAGTTTTGCTGTCGTATCTCCAAAGATAGTCCACCCCCTGTTGTTCATCCTTTATCTCGTCATTTCAAGTGGGCCTGTAGTTTCTATGACAGCTTGTCAATGTTACAAAAAAAAAAAAAAGAAGGAAGAATGGAAATTGCTTGTTTACACCAACAGTGTCCTGCTGCAGTACTAACACGACTCTGGGGAAACGCTTGCACGGTTCAATTTGACATTCAAAAGGAATGTTCCAGAGAATTGTGTTTGGGCAATTCATATACATGGCTACAATGCAGAAGGCATCGCATAAATGCAATATCTTTTGGACTGGCCAAGTGTTTCTGGATGTCAAAAGGGGATAGCTGCATAAAGCCCAGTAATTGTAAAATGAACATTTATCACTATAAATCACTCAAGTGTCACTAAAGAGTCACAAGGAGGCTCATTATAGCATTAAATTACTGACTAAGTTCCAATGTATTTTGCTAGTGACTCCCTAAGTGTTATAGTTTGCCAGCAAATAAATATGTGTATTAATCAGTAGAACAGTATTTCGAGCAGATATGAGCAAATTTTGATACTTAACAAGTGGGGCTCAAATCCATTAAACCAATATTTTAATTTAAAAATAATTATTTGAGTGTGGCACACCACATGAATCTTAAGAGCATGCGCACAAAACATTCTCCACGATCATATTGCTGCAGTTTGTTAAAAATATATATTTAAAAACATTCATGGATTTCACTAGGAGATCAGATGGAAGATCCAATGGAGAACCCAACTCATTTTAAAGACAGTCTGCTTAATTAAGCGAGACGTTTACCTAAAGTAGACGATCCTGCCCCGGACCAGAGAGCGTCGCCAGCCCGGAGGCACAGGCACGGGCGGAGGGTAGCACGACGCCAGCCTCGCATCTTTGCTGGTGCCGGCATCTGCTGCAACATCCAGGCTTCCCCTGGGACTCTCTGCCCTGCTGAGCAGCTCACGCCCCTTGTCTTCCGCTGCTGCCACAACGACGCACCAATTAAGCAATCGGAGAGTGAACCGCGACCCCAACGAGCCCCTGTGACGTGCCCAGAAGAGCCCCATGCTATGTTCAAAGAATATTTTTGCACTTCCCAAATACCTGGCATGTTCCTTAGAGGGATGCTGAACCGAAATCTGGATTCCCTTAAACACGCGGCAGAAGCGTGCAACGGGGTGCTACAAACACCAAAACATCACTCATACAGCGATATCTCGAACGGATGACCGTATTTTTCAAAAAGAGAGGCGCATTTGGCAGGAATGTTGACGTCATGTTTATCCGAGAAGGAGAGGGAACAGCCTCGCGTCTTCTCCGCCTCGCGGCCTTCAGGGAGCGAAGCGAAGAGAGGAGGAAACTAGGTATCTTGACGTCACGCGCCTCGTCGGCCTGGTTCAATCCTGACTTCTTTTTCCAAAAATATGGCCGTCCATTTGAGATATCGCCTTACTAGTAGTGTTGTAGGGGTTGTAGCGTCCCGCCTACATCTCCAGCATTGTTTTTATGAAATCCAAATTTCGGTTCACCATCCCTTTAAACAGGGATGGGACAGACCAAACTGGTTTTGTAGCAATTTTTGTAACCAAAAAATCCATATTTTGGAGCAGCTTAGAAGCAGAAAAGCTACATGTTGAAGCAACTTGTGAGCAGGAAAAAAACCTGCCACCAAGGTCTCAATTTCACTCACGAATGCATGAAGTAAAGTGAAGAAAACCACATTTTGCTTACTTACTGGACACTGTATAGTACAAAATTGTTTATGGCATCCAATTCATGCTTTTTACAAATAAATCCTTTTGACTTCAAGCTTCGCAAGAGCTTGGAAGTCTCGAATTGAAAATGACCCAAGCAGTGGTGATCGTGCAGACAACATGGTGAACATGCAGGCAACACTGTTGCGTCCTGAACCACTCATGGCTGCCCCAAAAAATAGCAAAAGGCCATTTGTGCGACGAGCACCAACCAATCCAGTGCACTCCTTCCTCATGATGCCCGAATCATCTTCTACAGACGCCTGGTTCTTTCCCCACAAGCTTTTCATGAGTATTCAAGCTCTGTCCAACATTTTTCAAAGAAAACTGTGAAAATGTGCACAGGCAGCTTCCAGCCTTAAATCAACCATACTCCCAGCATTGCATCAATCAGCAGGTATTCTTTCCTTACAACAATGTGCCTAGCCAGAACCCGAAGCCTAAGGACTGCACGGGAGAGACAATCAAGCAGCGCCGACAACTCTGAGAAAACGCTCAAACTCCATCTTTGGTAGAACGACCGCCGCCCGTCAGCTCGAGCGAGACCGGGAAAGAGGGAGGGGCTCACCTTGTTGCAGTGGGGAGAGGGGTGGCAGACCCCCGAGGGGGCCCGTGCCCCAGTGCAGAGGAGCCACCAGCGTGGGCCCGGCAGTGGAGGGCACCCTCAGCTGGAGCGCTGCCATGGGGCCGCCTGGGCCATGCCCCGCCTGGCCGGGGGGCTCTGCCCCGAGCCTGCCCGGGGCGCTGGGGCCCCCGCCGGGCCCCAGCAAGGCGCTGGCCCCGGTTCCCGCTGCAGATCTGGACAAACAACCAACATCAGCATTAGGGGCTCATGGTTGGTGCCCGGAACATGTCTTCCACCGGCATTTTACGGTTCTATACAGCACACGCATCGAAACTGGTCCTGAAGTGGCAACAAATGGACAATTTCTGAAATTTGCGGCACCCTCGTCGTCTTCTCGACACATCATGACGATTTGACATACTACACTAAGATGCTGCGATAAAAAAAAAAGATGATGATGTTGGTTCTATATTTTGTAATTGCAGAATGCAAAGAAGGCAGGATGATAAAAAAACAAAGTTTGTACTGAATTTGTTGTACCGTAAAATACCGCGGAAGCGCCCACTTCGTACAAAAATCCACCGTTAACATTTCCCAAACTTGGGAATTCCGCAAATTATACGTTAAGCGCCCACCCCCTTTGAAGCAGAGGCATCGGCCGAAAATATACAACCTTGCTGAAGCGGCCAAGAGACCGCCAGCGGCGATGACAAAGACATCCGCTTTCTTGTGATAAAAAGAAAAAAAAAAAAACTACTTGTGACGAGAGCACTGACCTCCTATTGTGCACTGACTCAGAAGAGTCGTTTTCTGGGTTTAGTGAAGATGAATAGGTACTAAGTCAATGACAGGTAAAGAACAAAGTGGAAGTTTCTCCCACCCCCTTTCATTTTAGCAGAGCAAGCGCTGGAAAGGAGGCAACCTCCTCTCCAGCATTTGCTCTGCTAAAGTTGAAAGAGGTGGGAGGAGCTTTTACTTCGTTCTTAACCTGTCACCAACTATAGTGGCCGCCCATCATTTATTGCGCAAAAATAAATGTTCTCTCTCCGATTTCATTCGCCCTGCCTTCAAAGCTCTATATTGACCACCATTTTGGTTTTTACCAATTTGACGGGCAAGCGCCGATATCTATGTTAACCCAGTTTTCAGCGAAAGTGTGCGTGTGGGGGGGGGGGGGGGGGGGGCACTTCCCTGGTAATTTATGGTATGTTTGTTCGCTTTTATATTTGCACCCAACTCACAAGGATAAGAGGGAATAGATCATGCCACTTCCAGGATACACAAAGGGTCAGAGACAGCTGGGGCGTACGTCGGGACAACCCCACAATGGACCTTTTTCGCATGAAGATGCCACCCGGCGGTGGATGTACAAGCTAGAGGTGGTTGAAGGGACCTGCTTTACCAACTGTCATGCCCTTCCAGTTTGTATTGACAGCACAGATGGTACACCAGGAGTACAGATGTACGGGACAAGGGATTTTCACGCCACCCGATCAACTTTATAGGGAGAACCAACAGGCAACAAGGCACACATACCACCTAGCGAGACCGGCGAGATTGTGGTGACTGTGATGCAAGTAACCATGGCCCAGTTGGCAAGACGGCGACAACGAATCCGGCATGTATTCTGCCAGCGTAGCACATTTTACACAAAACCACTACAAACCGGCAACGCACAATTGCGATGGGCTAAGGCAAGAGGTCCATACGAGTCTAGAAGGGTCTAGGTAGGTCTAGGCGGTGTTTGCCGGACCCTGGTCGACGCAACAACGCTACTCAATAACTCATAGCTTTCTTCTGTTTCCGCCGATCAACCCCCAGATAAACCAGGTGCTGCAATTTAAGCGTTTTCAGCTGGGCGTCGGGAGTGCCTGCATACGTAGGACTCCTCTTGAAAAATTATTCGTTGCTTGCATCGCGCAGTGCAAGCTAGGATTGTCACAAGGCCTTCTGGAGTTTTCCGAAAAGGTCTATTAAGCCATGGGAGCCGGCTTTTCATGCTGCCAGATGTTGTGATCCTGGCGGTTGGTTATAGAAGTTCCAAAATGTATGAGGAGCATGCAAGTGTTGCTGTCAATGCAGTGTCTCAACTCATAACTGCTGAAGTTTCCGTGTGCAGCAGAGCTCGAGAGCTACCTACAGCAGAAAAAGAATCTGCTACTACACCACCACCAGAATTCTGGCAAACAACTGCATGACACAACTGTGACGTCACAAGGTGGAAACCAAGAAACCGGAAAGTGAGGACATGGTCATCACAACAGTGGGAAAAATGTACCAGGCACCAAAAGGTGGAGCGAGGCACTCGTGAGCAACTAGCTATAAGGCCACCAAATTAGGAATAGCAACAGCACTGAATGGAGCCCCGTGGTTCTCCTAATCTAACGAGGCTGTCGAGGTCCGCTGGATGACGTGCCCTGACCAATGAAATTAAAATTTTCAGTGATGTGATTGGACTGGGTGACTTAGAAGCACCCTTTGGAGCACTTGTATACAAGTAACAACTAAGCGAGAAATGACATAAAAAAATAAACATATAGAGCAGTTTATAAAAGTTCTTTAGCAATATTCAAATATCCTTGATGAATCTTGAACGTGAAAAAGATATTGTCAGAATATTGCTATCATATATACTAGCCGCAGATTTTTTCAGAAACTGTGTGTAACATCCCATTTTGGGGGAATGCTTTCCCCTTAGCTTGCGGGTGCACTGCCATGAAGCAAGATATGCAAAATTGCAACGCATACTGTACTCCGTTTCACAATAACTTAGCACACTGCAGAGGCTACGGCCATGCGTAGGAGGGAGGCATGGGACACTAAGTCACGGAGCGTGTATGTCCCTGCACCAAATGCAAGGACCGGAGAAATCGGCTGCCGTCCGCTGGCCGAGAGTCGTCTGCTGTGAAACCAACCAACTTCGGATGAGGATCCCCCTCCGCAACATTTCCGTCTGCTAAAATAGCGAGCTCTTCGGAAACAGTTCATGAGACAATCATATGGTCAACTGACTTGCAAATCTGTGATGGGTGCTAATGCCAGGGCCCAATGCGATGCTTTGACAGAAACAATCGACTACATGGCTCCGATCGCCAACAGCCACGGCGCCACGAGGAGAAAACAATCAAGAGTGAATACGGATGTGACATCACTTTTTTTGTTTAAATAGTACAAGGGTGGAACTCATGAAATGTACTTGGGTGCAGCCACGGGAGCAGCTGAACAGCTGTTTTGGAGCAGGTTGGGAGCAGCTAAAATTACCCTCTGAAGCAGGCTAGGAGCAGCTCAGATCAGTTTTCATTGCACTTCAGCGTGTGTCTTAGACAAGCACGGGAGCAATTTCAATATTGCTTAGCAGCACAGATGAACATGAGTGGTTAGGGACCTAGGTAGATGGGATAACAACAGTGTAACAGACAGAAACTTGAAACTTTGTGAGCCTTACCGCTCATTCACACTGGAAGCGGATCCGCATTAGCAACTGCTTTGCGATCGCGGATCCGCTTCCAGTGGGAATGAGCGGTTAATGAGAATCAAAAAACAAAAGCAAGTACCCTATGTTTCTGAAGATAGCGTCCTTGATATTTTCTGAAAGGATTTCAGTTGCTCAAAATGCAAACCAGCACTGCTTATCGCACAACCCACACGTGCTCGACATAGTAATTATATGTGCGAACCACATGACGTGCGTAAGCAACAGACGTGCAGTTGCACGGAGGAATAGGGCAACAAATTTCGAGTTTATCTTATTGTGCAACTCGATATCGAAGCAGCAGACTACGATTAACGAAGTTACCGTATTTGAAGCGTTAAGCAGGAGCAAGGTTAATGTACGTCGAGCAGATTTACCACTCGCGTAAGAGCTGCTGGCCGGCAAGGTTTCGGATCGGACCGCGTTTCGGTTCTATCAAATCCCGATTTATCTTGCTGGAATGCGGTTCCAACTTCTAACGATGAAGTACTAAAAGGAATATTTTGCTCATTTGTTTTCAACTGGCTGACGTCCGGATCCCGGGCCGCAGAGCCTCAGGCAATCTGACGCTTAACACTCAACCTCAGCTCAGCCAACTTGCTTAACCGCTTATGGTTAAAGAATAACAATTCAGTCGCAGGTGGTGTAGCGCTTAGAATCCCGAATTTTTTTGCGTGCTTCTGACTCGGGATACACAGGGAGAATAAACAGAACAAAGGATTGCAAGGCCGGTCAGGCTAATTGCGCTCATTGTTGCCAATCGAGTCAATAAAACCGAAACCAAGACAAAATAAAAAAAAAGATTTTGGCGCACGTTTTGCCATTTGGCGCATAATGGTGCGAGGTATTAACTGCGGCGCAGTTTCTGCAGCATGGCACAGGATGGCGCAGACACATGCGTCTGGCGCAAATGGCGCAGCCGTTCCATCCCTGATAGTATTGAAAGTCATAAATTTGTGATTATTTATTATATATTTTTCATATCTTCTCAGTAAAGATAAAATTGCGCGAGTTAAATTGCAGTTAAAAGAACAAGAAGCCTAGAACTATGTTTTGTCGCAAACAGCGCTGTTCTTGTGGCAGTAACAAGGCCCCCGTGGCCTCGACCATGGAGTGTGATCACGTGCCTTGCTCTGGCACTCTTATTGGGTCGCGGAAGCTGCAGCCCCCACAGTTCGCCAAGTTATCGTGAAATGGCATATACACGGTGACAAGCGCACTCATTGATGGTAGTTATCCAGTCAGAACGTACAAAGAGCATGATAAATATTGCGAAACTTCAGAGAATTGTCAATGTATGATACAGAGATCAAATTGAATATGACATTTTTTAGGGCAATATTCAAGTTCTGAAAATTCGCAAAAGCCTATTGTAAAAATCCGGCCATGTAACAGGATGATTTATTATATTTTCAGTACTAATATAGTGAAAATAAGTTTTGGCACAATATCGGCGCAAATCCCTCACATCTTGGCAAAATATAGCAAAATGTAGCAGGGCATGTGCTCTGGCGCAGTTTGGCGCAGCAATCACATCACTGAATTTTGGAATTTCATTGGTCAGGGAACGTCACCGGAATCGTGACACAATGTCTATCGACAGACTACTGCAGAGTGCTCGCTGTCGGTGCAGCGGAGGCAATTAAAGTGCTAGAGACCAAATCAAGATTGTTCACGATCTCGGCTCTACTTTTACAAACTCAATCAATCAATCAAGCCCCAATTACAATTGCAACGAACAGCAGAAAGAAAAAAAAGTGACTGGCTGTAGATTGCCCCAACATACTATTGCAGACAATGCTAGCTGAAACAGCCCTTTGTGCTTCTTGGTGTGCCTGCCAGTTTTTGAAAGAGCTGTAGCCTGAATTTGGAATGAAACACAAAGCTGGAGGTCCCATGCTTCAGACTATTTGACAAATTAAGAGATAATAAAAACTTGTGGGGACTGCGGACGCACAAAAAGGCCGGATGGGGTGTTTCAACTCATATTGTCCACGGGGGAACTGGGGTTTATGTGTCAGTTATTCTTTCTTGTTATATGAAACATATTGTACGCTCGATTAAACGTTCAGACGAAGAACCATTATTGAGTGCCTGCGCGCACACATATTTTATTCCCAATTGGTACAAAGAGACAATGTTAGATAGTACTAAGTGTGCTTTTGTTCTGGTGTTAAGGTTGCCATTTCCAGAGTGCTTTCATTTATCACCCTGGGCACCCCACTGAAGGACTGGGAATTAATTGGGGCCACTGAGAGACCTCCAACACAGACTGAAACGTTAATACATGCAGTCATTGCAATTAGCCTTAAACAAAATGCTAATTGCAGTTGTACCTTGGTAAAAATGAGATCGATCAGCTAGTTTCAACATTTTGTGAACTGTGGCGTCCCAAGGCCACTAGAAACATACTAACTTCCTTCACATAAGCAAGGAGGACTGAGAGACTCATTTCCCCTTGTGCAAATGAAGAACTCTAGGAATGACAGCAACTCCAAATGAGGATACTCCAAGTGGTCTTCCCCCTCTAAAATACATCTATTATCTCTCTCTACCTCTCTTGTGGTCTTTGGTGAATTTTAAGTATGAAGTTAGATTAACTAGTATAAAAATAACAGAGGAAAGGGAGGCGAGATGGGGAAGAAAAAGGAGGCTCAAGTACAGGATTGTGTTAGCATGTTAAATATTTATTCATTCCTCCATCTCTAGTTCTTTAGTATTTAACTAGCATATTTTAGCAAGGTAAATATTTTGAGCTAGTGCAAATTCTTTTCGCTTCAAAGCCTCCCCCAGAAATGGCCAACAAAGTTTCCCAGGGAAAAATAATAAAGTGTACAAAGATAAATAAGCGTGTACCGGTGTACGCTATTTTCTAACATGTAATATTCTTTTGCGCTCTGAATTAATTCCAGGTAGCAACGTGTACACAATCTATCGTCGGAGGACGCTTTTTTACGACTCCTTCAGATTTTCGATAGGAAGTAACCGCTGCAACCGTGCGTCACAGCTCTCGAATTGTTACGAGTTTCCCTAATACACGAAGCAGGCCCGAAGGTCAAATCAAGCGCGGCAAGTGTGTTTACGCACAGGAGACACGCGAGCGTAGACGATTCAAAGCGACGTGATCGAAACGACGCCGCAGCAGCAACCGACGCCGCGCCGAAAGCAAACGTTGCCGCTGCCGTTGACACAGCGGCTGGCCCGGTGATGTCACCCGATCGCCGTTTCGCACTCCGCTGACTCCGCTGTTTCCAAACAACTCTCCCCAGATAACGTTACCAGGTGTCGTCCGACACCAAACAGACACGACGACAGGCGTCCCCCGCTTTCTCATATTTACTAGCCGCAATCAATAGAAGCAGCTAAAACGCCGGCAGAACCGAGGGGAGAGTGGCGCTAACACGACCATGCTCTTACGCGATTACGGGCGCCCGCTTTCCATATTAAACGGAAAATCATCCCCCTGTTTACATGGGACTCGGCTCGCGAGCATAAGGGGCTCTGCCAGCACGAGCAACCCACCGCAGCTACGTCCGACGATCAGAGCTGTCCGCGACTATACGGTTTGATCGAGCGGACGATCGTGGGTAGATATAAAGAAAAGAAGAGGCTCCATTAATATGCAATATAGGCCTACTTATAAACGCCTTACTAAAAGCGCTTAAGCCTATTTATACGTGCACCGGAATGAAGAAAAACAACCCGCGACCGTACCTCACACACTTCTCGGTCCCGCTTGCGTTTTCTTCATCTCCGACAACATTCCACGCACGTTGACAGGGTCCGGCGTATGGGTTCACACTTCATGAGAAGTTTTTAAATTAATTGGCGTCAAATTAACAGCAACACCTGGGCCTAAAGTGATACTACGAGGTCAACTTGTGAGCATCAAAAATCAAAGCGCGAGAAGCGATCACTGCTTCGACACCGAACATTGTGGTGTAGATGCCCCGGTCGTCACTGGACGACTTGAAACCGACGTGTCGATAATCCAGTCAGACGGTGATCACACTCGGTCACAAACAGATCAAACCAACTCTTGTTTGTGCTGCTATTTTCGAGTACACAACATTTAACCGTAAAACATGGCTCGTTTACCCACAATGCAACATTGACGAGAACACGAGAACTCTCGAACGCAGGAGAGTGCGCGCGCTTGACTTCCCAGAATGCCACTCGACGAGGGTGACGTACTGTGAGGTCGAGAGTACGATACTCGTGGCACCAACGCAGCAACTCGTCGCACGGCGAAGAGGAAAATCCTTTCAACGTTGGCGTCCTCCTTTCAACCGTTCCAGTCGACTGTAGAGGTTGCATCGCACAAGATCAGACGGTAATGGCTCAATATCATAATATTTTTTTCTGCTGTAGACACTAAAGAGGGTTTATTGTTGCCTATATTGCACTGGTTTCCAATCTGTTTTATTAGAAATAGCCCAAGTATCGTCGTCAAGTAGTCGGTCACAAGAAGGTGACTTGTAACGTCTTTTTGCGGTCCCTTGTGTTTTTCATTTAGGGAGCCATGGACCAGGTTATGACGTTTATCGATCCCTTCAAGCAACTATCGAAGGATTCTATCCGACTGATCAAAAGGTGCACAAAGCCCGATCGCAAAGGTGAGACGCATTTGACGAATGAACTGCGTGTGACATCGCCGAGTCAGCCAGACTTTGAAACTAGCGGCTCATTTGTTGCGTTTTAACCTCTAAACGGTCTCTTTTATCCTCCTTTGGCGTTTCCCCGTTACGTTACGCTTGCGATGTTCTTGAGAACTTTCTTAAAGGAGCGATGCAACCATTTTTGTACTGTGCACAAATACCGCTTAAAACGGATCCCTAACACGCATTCGTTTTTCACCCCACGCAATATAAGTCCCAGAAAAAAAATTAAGAAAAACGAGCAGCGTTCACCCCCTCAACTCGCAGCCAGAACAAGCGGCCACGTGATCTGGAGCCGATTATATGCCGCCAGTGTTGATCATAGCCACGCGCTGGAGTTGGCAAAGCGCAGGACACGCGCTGAGTTCCAGACATTGTTATGGCTCGGCTGTTGTCGTCGTTTCAGCGATTGGACACGGGCCACTACCCGAATGCTTCTAGAGCTAGTAATTATCACGAGCCCAAATCGAGTGCCCACGCAATGCTCGGGTCCAATCTATGAACCGCATCCAAATATCGTCACTTGGCTGTACTGCGATCCCCGAGTTACGTCATCAAATTTTGCAAAGGAGAGATTGAATGAAAATGATCGCTTCAGTCCTTGAAATTACACCGCAACAAAGGAGTTTCTTGGCCAGTGGCGTTGCGTGTGAGTATCCTTGAGTCCCAGGTGTGCCAGTAAGCTCGTGTATAGTGAAAAACATTCCAACTGAATATCGTTACACAGCTCCTTTAATGTTAAGAGCGAGTTTGTCAAAGCTATCCGCCATTATCCCAACTTGGTTTTGACAAAGCACGTTGTCCAGTTCAAAGTCAGCTTTAAGCTTGCATCTCGTGCAACTATTTTTGGAATTTCTTGTTCTTCTCTGAACTGCGCAAGCTTACAGAGTTTGTCATACTCACGTTTTTAGGACTGGTTCTGTGCCTGTGTATGTTCTTTCCTTTATGTTTGATTGAAACTTCCTACGATTAACAAGGTTTCTCCTTTTTTTATGTGCTTCTATTCAGAGTTCCAGAAGATTGCAATGGCCACAGCCATTGGCTTTGCCATCATGGGATTCATCGGTTTCTTCGTGAAGCTAATACACATCCCCATCAACAACATCATTGTGTAAGTAACATTTCATTCAAGCAAAAATCTTCCTCTAATAGTCTCCTTAGTATGTTGTTCTCTTCCTCATTAGAAATTAGTGATAGGCAATTAATCTGCCATATATGCATTCTGTCGCCCTAATAATGTAACTCTCCAGTTTTTTTTTTGTTTAAGTTTTGTTTGCCTCAAATAGCATACTACAACAGGGTAAAGTCATCATGAATCCACCTCTTTTTTAAGATGTTTTTGGAAGAAATTAGCTCACTCTCTTTGTCAGTGTCACCTAATGTTATATGACAACCTCTTAATGGCCTTCATTAATGCCACTCACAAATGTAGCAGCCCTCATAACATCTCTCATCCCATTGGTGTCACATGCATGTTGGGTGCACATAATGGTTGTCTGCTGCTCCTTTCATATCCCGTCATATATATGGGCGTCCTCCCCCGAAATGATAATCACTCCGTGGGTTTATTTGAGCCATTTATTTCCATGTGCATACATCGATTAGTGAGGTCAACATCTTTGCAATCCCAGCTCAAATGACCTAAAGGGGTTACTACTTGCCAAAAATAAAATGTGAGATAACTACACTGCTAGGATCCATTGTGTGTTTCTATATTTTTGTTAAATTTGTTTTGACAATGGTGTGATAGTTTTGTGAATGAATCTATTTGTATGTGGGACCCTCGTATCCACCCCCTTCGAGAAGGCCACCATGTTTGTTGGGTTGGTGATGCCAGTCGCCCAACTTGCGGTGTCCCCTTGCACACACTCGCTGACTAGGCCCTTGCGTTTCCGCTTCCACATTTACCTTCCACATTTCAATATAACGGCACCGCTCGCTTTGTCTGAGTCTTCGACACTGATCGCAGCAGTGTTGAGAGTGATTGTTATGAAAAGATGTTGAAAGCTGGTCATTTTGCTTCGACCAGCTCCAGCGACGATAACGAGCTTGTTATGGACAAACTTTCCGTCGTCTGTGACGATCTTGCACATGTGTGCTGCATCCTTATGAGCATTATATTTCAAGAATAATCTATCCGTTTAATGGTTTTCTCCTAACCCCTTTAAAGGGGCGATGCAACAATTTTTGTACTTTGTGCAAATACCGCTTAAAACGGCTCCCTGACGTTAATGACCTATGAAATAAGCGTTCGTTTTTCACCCCACGCAAAAGAAGTCCCCGAAAAAAATTAAAAAAAAACTAGCACCGTTCACCCCCTCAACTTGCAGCTAGAACAAGCGGCCACGTGATCTGGAGCAGATTATATGCCGCCAATGTTGATCATAGCCACGCACTGAGGTTGGCAAAGCACAGGACACTCGCCGAGTTCCAGACATTGTTATGGCTCTTCTATTGTCGTCGTTCCAGCGATTGGACACGGGCCACTGCCTGAATGCATGTCGAGGCATTGATTGTCCTGAGCTCAGATTGAATGCGTACACAGTCTTCGCGTCCACTGTGTGAGCAGCATTTGAATATCGTTACCGCAATGCTCGATGGCGCATTCCCGGGGATCGTACTGTTACCATTGTCCCCACAGCTCCATCATCAAATTTCGTGAAGGAGCAAAAAGGCGACGTTGGAAGGAGAGACTGAAAGAAAAGCTCCGCTTTCATCTTTTGAATTCTGCCGTGATGAAGACGCTTTTCGGTCAGTGGTGTTGCGTTTGAGTATTCTTGGGTCCTACTAGTGTCAGGAAGCTGGTGTAAAGTAAGAAATATTCCTACCCAATGTCGTTGCACAGCCCCTTTAAAGTCAAAGCAGCAGATGACTTCGTTCGGCAAAGCATTCCACTGCACTATTGTCCGGCAAAGCGTAATTTAAAAAGTGAGGCAATTACCTTGGCACTTATGATCCTCTAAGCTATTGACATTGAAGGCAACAGGTTGAGCTGGGGGATATATTTCGTCATATTGTTGGCAATAGAAAAAACTTCCTTTAATTATTATTTTCTGCCATTTGGTTGTTAGTCCTTGCCTCATGTTTCATGGCGGAAGCAGATTCTATGTGCCTGCTCATACAAAAAATAAGCGGCGGGGCTAGGGTTTCGATCCATTTCATTTGAGACCCTCGGTGTTTTTAATTGGGTCCATTATTGGCATTCATATCTTTTAATGCTGAGTGCACAAAGCATTTGTAAGCTGCTAGTTTGACATCTTTATTAAGCTTGCCAGAGGTGTCTTCTAAGAAATGGCTTTAGAGTAGCGTTACAGGTTGATTGAAATCTCACTCCAATAATTTTCTGTTTACTCAAACTAACCTTCAAAAATACAAAAAAAAAAACAAAAAAAAAACAGCATGCGTAGTTGCCAAGTTTGCATTATTTTAGAAAATACAAATTGCATCCTGTAACATGACCTGTTGAGGACTGGACTTTCAGAAAGTTAGGGAGGACTCTGCCTTTTTTTGTTTATTTTTTTATTATTACTCATGTCAACTAGCGCTTTTAAGGCACTTTAGACGGCCTGCGAAAATCGGTTTCTCAACGTATTGTGCTGGAATTTACTAGAGGTGCAAACAAATAATAAAAATCTACATTGAAAAAAAAAATTGCCTTGTTTTAAAGAGCTTAATTAATATTACATGAAAAAGAAAAAAAGTTTAGAGCAATATTGAATATTGATAACACGATTTAGTCGGCAATCACCTCCTTTCCACTTGTTTTCTCTCGGCATTTCGGGCGCGTGGAGCAGAGGTGGAGCGGCTTCGTCTTCACGACCGAGGTCGTGAAGACGAAGAACCAATTTTGCTCGCCTTTTAAAACCGAAACTAAACTGAGTACTGCAATAAGCACACGTGAGCTAGGTGGCGCAAGCGGCCGCCCGACACAAAGTACCCTGCATGAACCGTTCATCCCGCTTGCATGGTTTTTCCTGCCGTCTCTCGTTGTCTCGCGTCTTTTTAAAACTTTTTCAACGATAGACGCGGGCATGTGCGAACGCTCTGACGCTAGTGTGCCGGGTGGCAGCCATGCCGTCATGCTGTAAAACGAAACCACGTTTTTGCACAGCAGGAGTTACTTTGTGAGCTGAAGCATTCACTCCTGAAAGCAACGGCCGTGGGAAAACTATATATGGTCCCTGCCTGCCAGTCGCCGTGGTCGCGCGACGTTGGGTGTTGCCGTCGCCACGTCGCTGCAGATACGGCGCTTTCTAAACTGAAACCTAAGGACCGCGCTAATGTTCATCAACGTTTCTGTTCTTGTTTAATACGCTACTGCAAAAATCCCTCTAGATCAAAGGCTGCTGTTTACCTAGGTTTCTCTCGGTACGCTTTCTTTCGAGGGGGACCCCGGTATGTGAAAAATCTAAAGCTAAGGAGTTGGTGAAGAGAAGTGAGCTAAAGCAAAGGCAATGTGTGCACGCTGAACTCGCACAGCGCGCTTGATTGTCTCGAGTTCAGTCGTTGCGCAAAGCGCTCCTAGAACTTTTTGACCCCGGCTCGTGATGTCTTGCATCGAAGCGCTCAGGTTAGTTTCTTCTGTATGTTTAGCTTGTACCTCGCCAGCCGCTCTGGCAAGCACATGCGGCTGGGCTGTTTTTTGTTGTATGCTGGACAGTTACATTTTGTGTACAATTTTGGGATCCAGTTGGCCACGGAGCGGAGTGGCATGGTTTCGATCGAACGGCTATTTTGGGATGAATGGTGTCAACTACTGGCAATGGGCCCCTTTCTCCCATTGAATGTTTCCGAATAATAAGATGACGGTTAATTTTGAAACAGTGGCATCTGGTCCGAACTACTAGCGTTACATTTGGGTGGAAACTGAGCGTTCGGTGATGCATACTTTATTTTTGGACTGGAAAATAGCGGTAAATATTTGTTTTCTTTTTTGTTTGGGGGTGGGGGGAAGGGGCCTGCTGTATTTTATCTGCATTTTGTTGCTTATGTTTTGCTCTCCATAAGTTGTATATATTGCCGCTAGCAACTCGGTTTCATTATGTTGAAGCCACCTTTTTAAATAAGAATCATGTGAATTGGTGTTGCTTGAAGGTTTTGCTTCAGATAATAGGAAACCCCCTAAGTTTATCTGTGAACCATGCAGCATGTTAAGTAAAAAAATAGAACCACCTACCATGTTCTTTATGTTATAGCCATTGATTGTTAAATAATGGTTGCATAAATAGGAAAGTTAATTTTCGTCTGTCTTTCTTATTTTTTCAGTGGTTCCTAAGCATCATGAGTGGCCACATCGACGAGACTTGTATATTATTGCACCGAAGCCTCCTGGAATAAATGTACTCTTTTTACCTCCTCCCATTTTCAAAGACACATTTTGTTATAATTTTTTTTTTGACACTCCTTTATTCCATTGTTGTGGCAAGGTCCTCATATAGCCGTCATGAAAGGACGCGGACTGATGGCAGCCACCCTATGGTTCTCTTAACTCAAGTAAAGAAGTGTAGCCAAGTGAAAGATGAGATTACTTCTCTTGGGGTATGCATCCATAGTCTAAACTAGCAGCCTACTGCCCTCGCTACCGTTATGGCAGGAAGACATGCCAAACTGGGCTTTTCAAATATTTATTCACATGTTTGTTTAATAATTACTTCGGTTGTCTCTGAGTGATGGCTGGATCTGCATTCTATTTACAGCACGGTGACACAATCTATCATTGCCTGTTTTTTTTTTGTGATAGGCTGTAGCGTTGGCAAATATTACTTGGAACTCCAACTTACCAAGCAATCAGCGCTAGTTCGTAATTCTAAGTGCATCTTTCTGGTTGTCAAAAGAGAAGGTATACAAGAACACTGTAGGTCAAGCCGTGTGTCCGGTAGTGACATTGCCAAGGGGCCAAGGTGCTCCTTGTACTAAGCCGTGCAGTGTTGGGTGGGATGTAAAGACTTGTACTCACTCTAAAGTAGCATTATTCAGTATTTTGACTTCATCTAAATGGAGCCAAATTTGTCATGGAAGCCACATTTGTACAGTATTTATTGAGCTTTCCCAAACACTGTTTATTTTCTTGCCCTGTGTACATGGAGATTCCTATTGACAAATACAGTGTGAAAGGCACTCTAGGTATGGGTTTCAGTTGACACTCGTTTCTCAGTACTGTGCATTGTCACGGCTGGCTCAGTGGCTCTGAGGTGCAGCTCTTGCTTTCCGATTCACATCCCTGTCGTGGTGCTCACAATTCGAAGGAGACGTTGCTGAAGAAGGCTTTCTCTGTTGTCAAAAATCTGCAGGTGGTTTAAATTTACCTTCACTGAGTTGTGCTGACTGCCCTTTATTGATCTCTTGCATAAACACCCGGTGTTAACTTTTTTATATGATTGTCAGTGACAACTGTTGTACTGAAACTTTAGCATGTGTAGGTTGGTTATCTCTAGTGTTTACTTTTCCGCTGTTATACGGTAGTGTCTTCTCCACTGCTTTCAATTGTGATTGTGTATTTTCCATAGGTGCTTTCTGTTCATCTTTTTCTTTCCTGGATTTCTACTCTTCACCATTACCAGGAGCAGGCTATCTCAGATGGCCCTTCTAATATAGGAGCAATGCCTTATACATTTGATTGTATCACAAGGATTTTGTTTCTATTCGAGTAATCCGCAGATGGTCCGCTGATGTATACTATGTTTAATTCTAGCATGCACTGTTTATACACCACGCCCTGTCTTTCTTCTGGGGCATGTAAAGGTAAACCATATGGCCTGGCAGTCTTCCAGAAGATGATAGGGCGGAGATAATATTTTCACACAACTATTTTTGTACGGTGGTACTGAAGCAATGCGATAGACTACCATAAATCCCAGTGAGCAACTCTGCGCGCGTTGTACTCTGGGAACTAGTTGGCCAGGGAGGAGAGCGGCATGGTTTCGGTTTCGAGAAGAGATCATACGCAGAGTGTGGATTATAAACAGCCGCTATCTAATGTTTCCGGGTCCCGAGCGCATCGTTTTGGGTCTCTAAACTAACCTAAATGGCCAGACCTTGAAGCATCAGCACAAGCCCGAGCCATACGTAGCCTTGTCTTGGCACATGCTTGTTTATTTTTGTACTCGAGCCTTCCTGTTAGCGTTTCGAGGTACGTGGACGAGCCAGTGCTAGGAATCTCAAGGCTGCGAAGCTCGGGGATCTTGCTTATGTACGAGTCCACACGCTGTAACAACCAATAAGTTTGCGTACACCGAGCTCGCAACTTTACATTAGTGTTGCTGGTCAACAAGTTTGTTACTTGTTTTATGCGTCCATTGACGAAATTACCTTTTTCAAGGCTCGTGTACGCGAGGTAAATCTTGAAGATGAAAGGCTAAAATTGAACATTTCTTATCCCTTTATAGCTATACTGACCCGCAGCACTGCAGGAAGTGAAGTCCCTACACGCTTGGATTCGACTAATTCAATATCGCATGAAGTTATCATGCCCAATCCTACAGGCACATTCACACATACAAACCGTTTTGAAGAAAGCGACAGTCGAGCAATTGGCGGTTGCTAACGGCCATAAGATTTGTTACATGCGTACTTCCTGACTGAGTATGCCGAGATAATTTCAGAACCAGCGTACCCCAAGCTTTTTCTCTGTCCTCTTCCTACTGGAATGTGACTTGAATATTTCTGCCAAATTTAGCGGAGAAACGAAATTGCTGCATTGGTCACGTGACGTCTATTTTTCCGCAAAATATAGCGGTGAACCTGAATTTGTAGGTCAAGTGACATCAATTTTCCCGCCAAATTTAGGGGGAAACTGAATTGGTGCATAGGTCACGTGACGTCAATTTGTTCGCTAAATTTAGCGGGGACTAAATTGGTGTAAGTCACGTGATGTGAATGTTTTCGGCAAATTTACCGAGGAAACTGAATTGGTGCATAGGTCAGGTGCCGTTAATTTTTCCGCTAAATTTAGTGGAGGAAACTGACTCTTTATCCCGAGACGTCCGGTCACGTGACAAATTTTCCCGCCAAATTTAGCGGAGAAACTTTCGTTCGCGCTCACGCCGTCGCGAAACCGAGGGATGCGCCACTAACAGCTCGAGCTGTAATACTGGCAGTCTAGGAAGCTTGCAGCATCTAAAGACTTGAGATGACAGCAGAATTTGCGCTGTTCCATGCAATGCATGAGATGCCTGCAATGAAATAAGGTCGCAATCATTTGAAAGTAAAGAACAGAAACCAGTTTGTCTTAAATAACACTGTCAACTTTTTAATAGGCTATTCATTTACAAGAGGATATGTTTCGTGTGTGTGCAGACCTAGGGTTTTCCTTTTTGTTTGCTTGGTGCCGAAACAACTGCCACAGTAACAAGCAGAACATACAAGGACATGTCACACGGAGAGTCCAAGACTTCACACTTCTACAATGGAGCACACATGAGAAATGTCACCCTTGGGATGATCATGTCTAAATTTTGGTGCAGTCAAACCTGCAATGTTGAATCTAAAACTATGCCTGTCCTCTCTCTTGGTTCAGGCAGGCTTAGGCAAGGTAAAATATGAACCAAGCCTGTCTATCGACACAATGCAAACGTCTTGTTGCCATTTCTATACCTTCTAAATATGGCACGAATGTCAACAATGGGTGTTTCACGTTTGCTAGTGTGAACAAACATTGATAAGTACGCATACTGCAATATCTATGTACAATGTAAACAAGGAAAAAGTATCACACTAGGACGAATGTACAATCTGCAGTCATGCACGTTGCTCTTTAACAAATGAACGCGCAGTGCTGCACACTCGTGACCAGAGCCATCCATGCACACAGCGAAGGACAGACCTTTAACTTTGATTGGATAAGACTGCAACAAACATTCAATGCAGAATATTGCTTCTCCAGTAAATTAGCACTACAAAATACATTCACATTCGTAATATGTGCGTCTTGAAGTGTAATTAATGCACACAAGTGAAATACACGAAATTGAGGGAGGGTGTTTCGAATACTTTTTTTTTTTCATATAGCAGAAATTAGCCTTTTGTTTTGCAGCATATTGCTCTATAAATATAGTAGTTCCTGTAGATTTGAAAGGACAATATTGGGGTAGGGGGGATGTGGCCACTGCATAGCCAAAGTAAATGAGGTTATGCACAATGCTGTTTGTTTCATTGACAAAGATTACCTTGGTTCTGTCTATGGGGATACAGACACCCGCTCCTGACTTGTAGCAGAGCTTTCACCATTCTCGCGGATGTGCCTTCTACAACTACAGCACTCTAAGAGGTGGCTTTGCGACATGACCAATTTGCGACTTCCGAATATCACACAAGAGCTGAAGACTAGTAAATTGAGGACACAGTTATGGTGGATTATCTTTGGTGTTCTGCACTGTTGGATCCCTCATGAAGAGGGTTAGCACGTGGTTCATCACATCCACTGATTTTCGTGCGCTGAGTAAAATAAAATATCTACATAACTAAACCGAGTCTCCTCAGATTGAACGCTTGAATCACAGTGTTGCATCAATATCTTGAGGTCTGTAATAAAACTGCTAGAACTTGAGAGGACCTTCACCCAGCAAGTCGAGCAGTCACTCAATCCTTGTCGTACTAAAATGTGTAGACACACTAAGCAACAAGGATTTTCGTCCATCTAGTTGACATTTTATATCGACTCACATAATTTCCACACTGTGTACGAACACAGCCTGTGCATCTGCATTTCTACAAGACACAAGAAAAGCCATATTTTATATTGACTCACATAATTTCCACACTGTATAAACACAGCCTGTGCATCTGCGTTTCTGCAAGGCACAAGGAAAGTCACTCACTGTTATCTGTGTAAGGGGTCTTAGGAAGTGACGAAGCAAAAAAGCATTCTTATGCAAAAATGTCATCCGCTCTCTGATACAGAAACTGATGTTAGGCTTGATTAGAAGCCAGAGTAAATTACATCGTCAAGAATCGGGATAAAGACTTTTCTGGGTCTTGTCATTTGCTTGGCTCATTTCGTAGCTGGCAACGACTGTCTCTGCACTTTGTGGAAATATGGATGCATGGACCTTGTTCATAGGCAATGCAGAAATTGTTTTAAGTTGTTCTAGTATTTTGTACCGTATTATTTACATATGTTTTTCTTCGTTGTGATTTGATTTCTTCTTTTTTTAAGTCTGAGGAGTATTGTGTCTATCGTGTTATTCCTATAGATACAGCTCGCCTCAATGCCGCGGTAGCAGCAGTGGGGCGAAACATGTTGGGGATAGGTCAAGGATGATAAATGTGCAAACCAATAGTTTAGGCGAAAATGGGAGGCGAGAAAGTGCTAACAGAATATGAACATATTCGTTAATGACTAGCTGCATTACAGGATAGTGTGTACAGTTGGAGTTGCCTCTTACGGTGTTCAACACATCTGGCATTTAGGAATTAAAACAAAATCAGTTGACATAGGCTCATCTACTTCTCTTCTGCACCCCTGTGTATTCGGGAAAAAAACTTCTGAAAGGGTGGATGAGCCTAGTGGCGTAGCCGGGAATATTTTCCGGGGGGGGGGGGGGGGGGGGTGCTCAGATGGCTGGAATGTTTATGACTAGGGGAGGGGGGTCAAACTGCATGTGTATATTATAGAGTCGGCTGGATTGCAGGAAAGGGGAGGGGGGCTGAAGCTCCATAAGTTCCCCCTCTCCCCCACCCCCCAGGCTACGCCACTGGATCACCCCAGGTATAGGTGGAGGTCCAGCCATTTTGCATCAGCATGGTAGGCATATGCCATATCGCATCCCACCATAGGCATATGCCATATCAGACCCTACCATGGGCATATGTGCTATATCACGCCCCAACATTACACTGTTCCTTTAGTGGAGATGATAATATATCTTGGTGTTTCAGCACATCACAAATAGGGGTTCTAGTCTTCATAACGCAAATTATTAACAACTATCCACATGGAAACTGAAGGACTGCAGTGAAGGTTAATCAATTTTGCTGACAGGTCTTTTACAAACCCGAGGTTTTCGCAATGGAGGGCGTTTAAATGCTTTGGATGTGCATGGCTGCAGTTCCAAGTTTTCTGCTCAAACGGCTATTTAGCTTGCACAGTGCTTACTTTACCACACACCATCTACGCATTGCCTCTACATTTTTTGTTAATGTTCTCATACGATCCATACAATGATATGAAAGCTAAAAGTGCAAATGTGGTTCCTCGGTGGTTTATTTTATACATGCCCGAACTGTGAAATGCACAATAAAAATAAAATCAGATTGTAGGTCGAACGCAGATACAGCTTTCTTTAAATAAAATGTGGTTGCGATTTAAATGCAGATCTAATCTCTACAGATAGTGTTAACAAAATCACTATTCGCAAATGACTCTTGAGAGGGAGCTACCCTTTTGAACTCCACGATAGACACAATGCTATAGAAAGTGACATCAGAATAAAGTTATGATTTGAGACATCAATTATTATGGGTCTTTACAGCCCTCCTTCATTAGCGTCAGTTGACGTTGGTGACGCTGAGATGCTATGATTCTATACGGTGCCGACAGGATAAGCATCTTTAGGGTATTTTGTCGCAAAACATGCAGAAAAAAGCAATAATTTTAGCACAAAAGCCTGTTTTTATGTACACATTTTTGTCTGTTCTATCACACATATAGTCAGCTATGGTCGACATGAGATTTCTTTTTACGAATGCATAACTATAATCGAAACTTAGTGCTGAATTCAACTAAGATCGGTAGAACTATGAATGAGCCAGTGCACTGTCCTCTGGCATTGAAGAGCCAGCAGCAGTGGGAACTTGTACACACCGCTTGTTGATTTCCACTCAAGAGGAAGCAAGTCAAATATAAATTAATTCCGGGAGCTACCTTTCCCAAGAAGACTGCCTACTGACATTGAATGTTTGCACAAATGGAGAACGCTTTGCTGCAGCGCTTCATTCCATGCCGAACTGTCACAGGAGCTTCGTGGAAAAGACGGCGAGATAGAGACTGCGCACAATCGAGAAGGTTGTGACCAGTTAGAGCGGTGAATGCTAGGCGAGAAATTCAATCTTGTTTTTCAAGGATGTATTGAAAGGAGCACATTGGTGGTAATTAGTAACCCGAATTAAAAGAGACTGGTCTAAACATGTTTTAGTAAATATATTTTCTCTTTTGGGGAACAGATATGTTTTCCTCCATTAGTTTTTTCTAGTTCAGGTTTCTAATTCTTTTTAAGTTTACTATATAATTTCCACCGTAGAGCTATATGTATTGTAAATAATTACGCAGTCTTCAATGAAAACCGACATCAAGATGTGTCTCCACTACCTCCAATAAAAACAAACAAGCCACATGGTTGGCTGCCCATAGCCAATGGCAACAATGATAAATACCTTTACAGCCGCTGCATTAAGAAGACATGGATGATGCAGGAAACCTACCTAATCAGAAAAATCAACAATTTAGAAAGTACTATACCACCTAAAAAGGAGGGAAAAAGGAAAGCTCACAATACTTTCATTATTTTCTACTGTTAAAAATGTAGCCACAGGGCATAAACGACGCCATGTGGTGTACTACTGCAGACAGAATGAGTGTAAACAGCCCGGTATGCTTTTTGATGTATGTTTAAGATTTTGAAAAAGCTCTGGTTTCGAATAAAGGTCTAACGCGAAGTTAGGTCTCATATGCACATGAATATATATATAAAACCCATAGGATGGAGCACAGTTCATGACATAACGGGACAAACACATCTGTGCTCCGTGCAATGTGGTTATTCTTTCGTATGCATATGAACCTTACCAACACGCTCTGTTTTTAATAATTATGTCTCAGTCTCTGAACTCCTTGACTGAAGGCATAGCACAAAATCTGATCAAGTGTTGTAGCTCATATTGCCCGGACAGGTTGCGTGTGTGTGTGTGTGTGGGGGGGGGGGGGGGGGGGGCACAGTTTTTTCCAGCTTTCATTTCTTTATTTAGTTTTATCGGTCGGGAAAAACGTTGAGGGGAAGAGGTACTTGTAAATGAAATCTGAGCTTACTTTGACTTTTTCCTCATCCTCACCATTCTGAACAACAACAACAACATGGTAGTCGGTCTTGTAGAGGGGGAGAGGGGAGGTGACTTTACATTAGCACGTCTTTGGTCTCGGGCATACGCCAAGAGACCAGGCAGCCTAGCAGCAGGACGGCGGAAGTGGTGATGATGGGCACGGACTTGTTCAGGCTGATGAAGTGGCCAAAGGTAAGGCTCCCCAAAAGTGCGGCCAGGCGGCTGGCGGCACTGAGGAATCCGTAAGCCGTGCTTCTGCAATTCGGAATCAAGTAGGCAGAAGTTAGTGCAGTTACAATTGCCTGACTCTAACCATTTTTACATGTAACTGTGAAAAATGTGAAGGTATTCTTACAGTTGGCAATAAAACAGCTAGGTGAAAATGGGTTCATTTCAAGCTTCATTATGGAACAGGTTCCAGTTGGATCGAGCAGGAAACGAGACAATCCATCTGGGTTGAGCTAAAGGGCGCTCCAAACCAAACCGGATTGCAGCGTTCGGGCGGGTGCAGGACCCGGAACCCGGTTATTTTTTATAACTTCCGGGGCCCGTAGCCGGTCAAAAGTGTGCAGTTGTGTTTTGACGACAAGCACCGACGGCCGGAGCGACCGATGAAGTTACGTCACGGCGATCCTCCAGGCGGCCAATCACATTCTGTGTGATGTTACGAACAACGGCCAATGGAAATCAAGGGGGATAAGGTCAAGGGAGTTGTTCGTTGCGCTGGCCCTCTACACCGATTGACTCTTCCCCCCCCCCCCCCCCCCCCCCCTAATTTCACCACAACGCCTACAACAACAACTGCAGCGGGGAAAAAGAACTCGCAGTGGTGGACGCCACGTGCGGGAGAGAGGATAAAGCCCCTTTAGTGGGTGGGATGTTTGAGGGACTTCGAGAAGGAGAATACAACAAAAGCGACTGTCTCCGTTGTTTGTAAAGTTCCAGAAAAGCGAGGAGCGCCCATCCCGCTCCCGTGCTGGTCGCCGAAAGTTAAAATATCTCCAACTCTGATGGCGACCACGAAAAAAAAGAAAAACGGTTAGTTACATCATACGAAAAAAAAACAAAGAAAGAAAAAAAAGATGGGTTCTGGCGTAGCCTATGGTTAGGTTACGTTAGGTTAGGTTAGGTTAGGTTATGGTTCTGGGTTTTACGTTTGTTTGTACGCAGCAATCCGGTTGGGCTCGGACTGCCTTTAGATCAGTTCCATCAAGGGGGGGGGGAGGGATTTACAGTGAGATGTTGTGACGTGACAGGCAAAGGGTACATTCTGCTAAATGTAGCGCCCAATTTAATCCCAAATCTCAATGGAGGCTGATTCTCCGTTCTCAATATTTTTGCGGGAACCAAGCATATTTTAAGAGAAAAGCTTTAGGTAATACAGATGCATAAATCGCTTACAGATTTCAGAAGAAAAAAAATAACGCTGAAATTCCAACTTACAATCGTCCTCTGTCATAAAGATTTCCAATGGTCAGAGAGTAGATCAGTTATGATGTGAACGCGTAAAGTCGGCTTGCAATCCGGAAGGGCATTTCGCACTGTGCCAAAAGTCGCCATGACTTCCAGTTTTGTGGGGCAAAAATCACGTGGACACAACACGCACTTCTCCTACCGCAAACGTTTTTTTTTTTTTTCTTGTTTGATTGCTTAGTAAGAGGGACGTTAATCAGCCCCATTGGACATGTGGATTCTCCTCTGTAGATAAGAAATTTACGCTGCAGTACAGTTGCTAGCCTGGGTTTATTAAAGTGCATCGCGCAGTAGTGGCACGTGACCGCACGCTGGTACGATGATCATCCAATTTGATTAAAATGGGCAAGGGTGAGGACTGAACCTCCAGGGTCCCTGCGTTCTGCAGCGCGAGTTTTCTTTCCGAGCTGCGGTGCTCTAACACACTCGGCCACCAATTCCCCAAGTCTGTAAACTAGCTAGGGTCAACGCAGTGCAGCTCAGAGCACGTGAAACGAAAGCTCGCCCTGCAGAACCCAGTGTTGCCAGTTTTGTTCTGGATGAACAACGTATTGGCGTGCGGTCGTATATCACTACTGCGTGATTCACGTTAAAAATCCCAGGCTAGCGTTGTATACTGCGCTGGCTAAATTTCTCATCAACTGGCGGCATTTGGTCTGGGTATGCGTCAGTATAGTGACTGTTGCGCCGCACACAAAGGGTACGTACCGCCAAGCGAATTTCGTTTGTCATTTGCCACATGAAACTCGATGACCCGCAAACAGTTCGAAGTGCTCGCAGAAATGGCAAAAACAAACTAACTAGGTGGAGCTTCAAGCAAATATTTTTCGCGATAGCTACACAAATAATCTCGAACATATATATGTATATATATATTTTTTTTTTAAATGTCGGCACTTTTGATTTTGCATTCTCAGCCTTTCGGCGAAAATCCAAGAGACTCCGGACAGGCCAAGGAATATATTATGTGCAAGTTTTCGAGAAGTACTAAAGAATTTCACCCGCCCTGCCCCACCGTTGGGCGGCGCCAACATATGCTCCTTGTGCTTGAAACGCATAAAGAAAAAACACAAAAAAACTGTGCTCTAGATAGGTTAACGGAGCACCGACGAAACTTCATTGCACTGCTTATCATTGAGTCTATGCTTCTGCGCTTGCTGCCATTTGACGGCGTCATAAGGAGTTGTAACTTGGAGTTCGTGCAAGGAGAGCTTACTCTCTGCGATTTCCAAATATTCGTATAGTGGCGTCACCAAAATAGTTTTCGGTAACGCCCTCTAAGGTTGTTTTCTCCATAAAAAAAAAAAAAAAAAAACCGCTTTTGGGCGTTTTGGGGTGAAATGGGAAGGGGCGCCCCCTGCCCCTTCTCCGCCCCTGGTTTCATAATCCAGATAAAAACGAGCTCCTTACACATGAAGGCAGTGGACCATTCAAATAATTTGGGAAAAGGGTTCTGGGAACTCCCTCCCAGCACGGCTCATGTTCAATTGCTCTTTAATCATGCATCTTATCGGAGACATCCGTTAAATGGGGACAAATCTTACTTTGTATTTTGAATTAGAAACCGGCAGTAATTTATCACACAGGAGTAATTCAGAAGTCGGCCTATTTTGAGTGTTGTTATTAAGGATTGGTGAAGGAGAAAAAATTAAGACCTAACTTTACCTGTTGAGCCTATTTCTCGCAAGACTAGAAACCAGAATATTGAGTTGCCGAAGTTTAAGCAAAGTCTTGAGACAATGGGAACAGCAAATTCTCAAGCGTTTTTTTTTTTAATATTATATTTAGTTCACACAAACACACCGGTATCCATTACTTCATTATTTTTACACAAATGGTCTCCATCTATAAGAAAGGAGACATGCTTTCTGGGGTGTGATCTTGAGCAACTGACTTATGCGGCCCAGTAATTTAACAACATAATAAAATCAATGACCCTGTATTCTGTGAGGAACTATGCCACATGATGAATTGTGACATGTCAAAAAAAAATCGGTCGAATTAAAATATATATATATATATATATATATCAATAACTAACCTTAGCGTCGCAGGGTACGACTCGGTGGTGATGACGTCTACAGCATTCCAGGCCGAAATGGAGACGAAGTTGAAGATGGCTTGGAATGTTATCACTGACGACCTGGTGACTGATGCCCACACCAGCAGCACACTTGCACTCGACAGGAAAAGAGAGACCCCTAAAAAGTAGAACATGTATGCTGAGGGTCAGATACAATTTTTGACACCTTGCAGTTATACGTGTAGAGCGCGTGACCGAACCTACCTCGAATATATAATTAAATCCGTTGTATATTCTAGGACACTGTAATTTATCGCAATTGTGAAAATGACTAAATTTGTGAACGATATGAAGGAAAAAGTTATCTCCATCAGAAGTTACAACTAAAAGCTCAAATTTTCTTATGGACCGATATGGCATTGAGCTCAACCCGTGTCAAGCTGATAAAATCTTTTGGGTCATTGGGGCCTTTAATTGGAAAAACCCAAAAATATAAAAAAAAACAAAAAAAAACAACAGAGTGCTCCCTCTTTGTTTTATCTGCTTTTGATAAGCAAATGTCCTAACGGGTCACTAAATCATATTACAGAGTGTCCTCTCTAAAAATTACAGTGTTTTTCACCACACAAATAAACAACGCATCGCCGAACGGTTATTCTCTGCTCAAATGACGCGCTAGCAGTCCGGACCGCATGTCAAAGTTTCAAACCTAACCGTCATTTTATTTAAAAGTTGTAACTGATTTTCTGAAAATTTTAATGGGAGAATGGGGCCCACCTTCGTTAAATGGCGCCTATATGCTCTATGTTTCTGGGACTCAATGGGCCGCCATTTTCCCATAGAAAGGTTTATAAGCACTTGAAACTTTTGAATAAGATAACGCTTAGTTCTGAAACTTTGGCACACGGTTCGGACCACTAGTGCTACATTTGGGCGCCGAATGAGTGTTCGGCAATGACTAGTTTATTTGTGCACTGAAAAAAAGATCCTGTAACTTCAAGGGGTATGTGTGTTCCGCATGACATTTGTTTTATGTACTTCTCTGCAGTGCACATGGGCACACCTGATGGTTTCTAAGACTGCATGCTGCTCACAAACCTTCAAAATACACCCCATGTCAGAAGCGCTTCCCAAGCTGATTTCTCCAATAATACAATTGGGCTAAAATCTCCTTAGACATTGTTATTTCCTAATCCACAGCATTATAATTACTGCTAGCATGGCACGTGTACCATATTATTTAGAAAGAACCTCGATCACATTTCACTGAGACATTTCGGAGTCCAATAAACAGATATGAATCATACAAGATATGTATGAACATATAAGGACGATGTAATAACTATTTAATTTCTTTATAGGATATATAAGAACATATAACAACCATACGAGAAACTTCTTACAAGTTTCTTAAATGGTTGTTATATGTTCTTATATAGTTCTCATATGGTTCTTATATCCTCTTATATAGTTCTTATATGGTTCTCATATCTTCTTATATATCTTGTATGATTCATATGTGTTTATTGGACTCAAGAAATTTCTCATACAAATGGCTTTTTCACTAGGGGGGAAGCAAAGCTGACAAACACGCACCCAGCGTCTTGACTCTTCCGAACCTGTCGATGACGCAGGACGAGATTATGTTTCCCGGGATGATGGCCAGCTGAGCAAAGAGATTCTCCACAAACACGTCCGAGAGACGGAAGTTGACATCGAAGTCAATGGCGCATCCTGTGTCCCGGTTCAGGAATGTGGTGCTGTTGTGGAAGGCACAGTCGTCGAACCGGTAGTCGTAGAAGTCAGTGTCCACGAAGCGGACGCGCATGAAGTCGCACTGGCGAAAGAAGCTTCGACTCGAGTGAACGTCGCTAAATGAGCTGGAACAAGAACGATAACAAGTGTTCGTGATTGCTTAGGAACATTCGTCGAGTGCCTTCCTTTTGAAATAAACCTCATTCAGAATTATCATTACTTAGTGCCATTTTCGTCAAGGGTGGGGGTTGCACTGCCTATTTTCAATACTCTGTTGTGCTATAATTCTCTAGATTTTTGTTAATGTTAGACCAGCAAGTATCTGACCATGGCTCCGTTCACCCTTAAGTTAAGACTTGAAGCTCCGCCTTCAGCGCGAGCTTGCTGGCTTCCGCAGTGCTTTGCTTGCGCGTGCCTGTGCGTTCACACTTGTGTTAGCAAGGGTAGTAAGCTCGCGCTGAAGGCGGTGCTTCTAGTCTCAGCTTAAGGATGAACGGATTATAGCGTGACATTAATTATGTATATATATTACGCATGTCTGGTGATTTCTTCACTACATCATATCTAGACTGAACCGAGTTCTAAACATAACTAAAGGTTGCAGTTAAAAAAAGTATTGCAAGTTTAATTTGCGCAAAATTTCTGAAGATTACAGACACCAACAAAAAAGAGTTATAAAACTGAAATTATAATTTTACAGATTAAATTATAAAGTGCAATCAATGATATTGCACGTTCCAGAGTCTAGTCTACTGTTACGTTTCGGGGTAAAACAGCGCCACGGGGCATGAACGAAGTAAAGACCAGAGAGTACATGTATACTGTCTCGTTTTACTTCGTCCGTGTCCCGTTGCGGTGCTTTACCCCGAAATGTTCATCAATCAGCTAGCGGCAAGCCCAAACAAACAGTTTAGTCTGCTGTTAAAACATATGTTTGTCGTTTATTTTTACACTAATTGAACTATAAAGACAAGTTGTGACATTTTTTGTAAGGGATATTAGGTATATATAAAAACTATGTGAGTTATGTGCAACGCTCTGAAAGCTGCTGCGGCGCGAGCAGGCTGCTTGGTCTTGCGGTTATTTTTGTGCGCTCCCGTACAAATGAAATGATAGATGAAGCCATGAGCTAGAACCAGTAGCATTTACACCACTGTACACCATATGAAACGAAGTATACTGCACTTCAGTACCGGAAATACTTCTATGACGTCTTATTAGACTATTTAATGTTTTCACGACCTAACACGGTGTCTTAGAAAGGGCTGGGAATGGTATAAACGAATGGAAATTTTTTTTTTGTCTAAAAATGCTTCCATTCTCTGCAGAATTTATTGTTTTGTACTGACTGACATATTGACAAAAGTGTGAACACAGCCAGCTTACCTGTTGATAAAGGAGCAATTGGTGAATAATACGTGGTTGAGGACAATTCCAGTAAACCTCACATTGTGGAAGACGCAGCTCTCAAAATTCGTGTTTTCAATTGAATAATTGAAGATGTAGTTCCGAATGTAGTGATTTGCTTCAACTGCCGTTTCTGAGCTGTATGATTCAGACTGCAGCTTTCTCAGATACTCTGGAAACCAGATGCTCATTCCATAGAATCTGCAAGACAGAACGCACAGACTGAGACGTCTGGGAATAATTATTTAAAGGTATTGTAGATATGCTTCAAATGCCAAAAGAAACAAATTGCAATAATTTTTTCTTGCAACAGTTACTCCAATGTAAAATAGGAAAAGTGTGCGAGCGAGCGGGTTTAGTAACGACATTGTTGAAAATCATCTGCCACGATGAAAAAATAAGCCATACCACAACACATCTTTGTGTTTTCTCTTCCTCTCTATCCCAGGCTTTGGATCACGTAAAAATAAAGGTATTTGCCTTACTCTGCTAAGAACATTTTCTGGCCATATATCTTAGAACACCCTATCATTTTTGGTGACTTTCATTTTACGAAAACTAGACTGAAACGTACTCCAGCAGATGTGCTGAGTATATTGACAAGTAGAAAATATTGCATGGCATAAAGAAGATACTGGCATAGTTGCATAATTCTTACACTGACTACATATTGCGCTAAATTAGTGCTTTAGCCTCCTTTATGCTGTCCTTTTCCTAACTACTTCGACTCAGCAAATTTTATTGGCTATTTTGTTCAAATTCTCATAACTTTATTATAGTTTATTAATTATAATACATTTTGGTGAATTTTACAAATTTACCTACTTTAGTGTATCAAGTTTGTCTCGATTTAGTTCGGCATGAGTTGATATGAGTTTAACGCGAGGGGCAACGTAAAAACTCCAGGGCGAGTTTGTTCTTTTTCAATCAATTTTGTGAAGAAATAGTGGTTATATTCTTTATTATGGTTCACCATGTCAAATTAGTGGCCTCTGACATAAAAGAAACTAAATCCACTTACCCGAATGAGGTGGTAAGCCAAATTACCAACATAATCATTGTAACCTTTGCAAAAGGTGGGCACATCATTTGGAAAAATGAACTCCAGAACTGGAAAGAAGATATAAACAAATCTTTGTATTCCCTGATATGGGTTTAACTTCGTTATTGCCTTGCTAATGGAATTGTTTTCACAGTTGAAGTGTTATATTTAAAACTACGTTTCAATCAACTCCTAGCCTCTAAATTTAGTCTTAAAAATGCAAGGTTGTGATATTGTGGCATGTAGTTTGCGTACATATGCATGCACATGTCTGTCCAATGCAGGATCGCACATTATAGTTAAAAGACTACCTATGTAAGGGTAACATGTATGAAAAGAGTGAAATAAGTATAATACCGAGGAGCCAGAAACAACGAATGTCTGGCAAACGCGAAAAGATTGTTAGACAGTGATTTCCAAGTTGCTGTCAAGTGTTTCTTTGGCACTTCTAGAAAGAGTGTGTACTAGGTCTAACAAATATGGCTTGATGCTTTGTAAAATAAAATATTGCTACCCAACTGTTATCACACTGTATATGATAGAACGTATTATTTATTTTGTGTTTGCTGTATTATAATAAAATATTTTAAAACAAGCCATACCTCAAACATGGTCAGTTTCCTAACAACAAATGTGTGCGGAGTAACTTAACAACGGTGCAAAAGTTTCCCAATTAAAGTGGGTAAGTGCGAGCATTAAATGCTGCTTCTAGAAGTATACGTAAGCAGCCAAGCTGCTCTCAAATGTTTTAAGGTACATTTTCCCAAGAAGTTTCCCGGCGAAATATTTTTTTGGCAAGCAGAGACAACGCAGGATGCTTCTTTGTGCAATTTAGAAACAGGTGCATAGCGTGCACAGGTTAAGCTTCACTTCTGTAGATATAATTATTGCCAATGATATACAGACTTTCTTTAATTAAGCGTGCTGGTAATGTTTAAAATAATACTTCTTTCCCTCTGGTTTTTGTCTACTTATACAACCATAATGGTTGTATAAGCATGCTGGGACAATGTGTGTCAACCGGCGTTTTATTCGAACCAGTCTAGCACTTGACTCAAATAGATTTGTACTTATTCCACTTTTAATAGTTGACTACACTTTTAGTAATATAGCCTTTAAAAGTAGTTTTTATAAACTTAAGTTTTATAAATAAACTCTGAAAGAATGAAGAGGATGTGGTTTAGAAGAAGATGAGCGCTTTAGATTAAACTAAAAGACAGTGATCATTACAGTGGTACCAGCATTTTAACAATGCAGTTATAGTCCATTAAACATGCAGAAATGGTCAAATGTTTTTTGATTATCACATGATAGTTTCAAATCAGTAAAGCAGTGTATACTTACGCTCTCCAGCGAGAAGCAAAAATCTGACAACAAGGTCCGGTTGACCGCTGGTGGAATTCCATGAAAGGCCCTCCTTCCTGGTAACTCCAACTCAGACAGCTGAAAAGTTTAGAAGGAATTGCGAGTCATACAGTTGCCTTGATCTTTATGCACTAAAGTGTCTTATGTTTTTATGCTGTAAAAGGGTGTGGAAGACTTTTCACCCGCTGGAGTCTTTCACATAGTAAATAATGAAATGTGACTATATCAGTGCACCTCAGCGCATAATTTAAAAAAATTGGGGGCGTTTATCAAGGATTCTCAATTTGAGGGGAAGGGGGGGGGGGCGTATCAAATTTCTGGGATGCTTTGGGATGTATATACTATAGGGTTGTGTACATCATGTGAAAAAAATGTTGAAAAAGGGGGGGGGGGGGTTAGACTCATCCTGGTGGTGTTTATAAGGGTGCTGTGGTGTTTGAGAATTACTGAATCTGGGTGCATGTCAGCTTCTTAAAGGGGAAGGGTTGCAACGATTTCCGGATTTTGGTCAAAAATTTGTGGAAGTTGTCCTTTGACACTTCTGAAGTAAAGGACGCTTCCTCTACCTCTCTCTGCTGACATTAGCGGGCGTTATGCTGCAGCTTAGAGCCGAGCGAGGTCATGTAAGCCTTTCGCCGGAGTTTCTTCGGCTTCCACTCGCGGCTGCAGGTGGGGGAAAAAGCTCGACTTTTGCTTTGCGGCTATGCAGTGGAATCGCGACATTTTTAAATGAAGATGTTTTCTCTATCCTCCAGGACAGAATAAACAACGTAAAAAGGACGAGATGCAAATTCTTTTCATCTTAAAATCGTTGCACCACTTCTTTACGAAGGGTAAAGGCAAAATCAATATGCACACCCTTTTGTGATTACGCTAAAAGGTGCTCTTCATACTACCAGAAAATATATCATTTTTAACGTCTTGTTTGAGAGTTCATTATTGGAAACGAATAATTTTTCTGAAATAACCAGTGATGATAAGGGGATCTTGTGCACTTGTGCAAATTAGTGAATATAATAAAAATATGTAGCAACGCCTTTAATTATTACTCGCATTAGTTTGTTATTTCGTCCTTAAACCCGCAGACTATTGTCCACTTATACGAACAGCTTGCAACAGAGCACGTTATTGCGGATGTTCTCGACACTTCCTGTCTCGAGAAACCCCAGCCACTTCACGGGAGAGCGGGGCAACCAAGCACCCACTCCCATTCAAATTAATTCAAAAATGCACTCCTGAAGTTTAAACACTGTTACTTAAACTATAATCATCGGCACCTCAAGTACATGCAAGTGTTTCTCGTAGTACGTATACTGTGGAAAGTATGGTTTTTACAAAATTTGATTCATAGAAAAACACAAAAAAATGTCGTTTGCTTTTTGAAAAATACATCTGTCTCTATAAAATAAGGTTAACATAACTCAGAAAGAGAAAACTTGGTAACGCTCCGCGAGGTGCCTAACATTCCTTACTACTGCTTTCGAGGTCAAATCAGGCGCTGCTGTTGTTGCCAAAATATGCTCACCCATGCACGGCTCAGTTAAGGGCGGTCGAAACCACACCGGGCTGCTGGTGGCGTGTGCCAGAGATTGCAAGATCCTTGCTACTCGCGCTACTTGTTGCAGGGAGACATTTTGCTGTTTAGGATGGACGATAGCTAGCCGCACGGCCGTTGAGGGTCTCGGAAAGTTGAAATGTATTCAATTCCGAATGCAGTTAGCGGAAGTCCCAAAACGCCACCGGTGACGTCATGTAACTCGCAAGAACTTTGCGGGCTCTGGGACTCACAACCCGCAATCCGGTTTGGTTTAGATCGCGCTTTCCGCTAATAGCCCAGTGCACAATTTCTACTTTATGCAAGGCAGAGGATCTGTTTCCCTCTCCTTCTTATTTTGAAGGGCTCCCATGAAGAGAAAGTGTTAAGCATACGCTTAAGTTAACAAACGGTTAGGACAGACGTTTTCAGGCTGGCTTTCAAAAGAGCTCAAGATAGTTTTATTCAGATATACTGCTGACTCTTTGTTGAAAGCTGAGGCACGTGTGGCTTATACACAGCTCGTAGAAGAGGCGAAACAATACACATTGGGGTACCCCGAATTCTAAACTAAAAGCATGTGCCGTAAACCAAAAAAAAAAGAAAATAAAAACTTGCAGCTTTTTCACTCTGACGAAGAAGGAACAGCGAAGCTGTACGATAGTCCCGTGTATTTCTTCTTCGTCTTCGTCTGTTTTGCGCGCTGATTCCTGCGAAGAATTCCCACCAGCTCGCCCAACCATCCATTCTTCTATGATAGCTGGAAAGGTTACCGCCATCTATGAGCGCGGGCGGCAACCAGACTGGTTGTCTGGTTGCTGCCGTCGCTCATAGATGGCTGTGGCTGTCCAAAGTTTTGTGTAGTTTTGTATCGACATTTGTTTGGTACCGGACACGGAACTGGGGAAACTAGCCCTCAACAGCTCCGCTGTAAAAGAGGATTAGCAAGTTTTCGAAAGCATACCTGGTAGTCCACTCCTGACTTGTTCGAGTGGTTCATTTTGAATATTTGCTGATAGACGTACATAGCCTCTACATCTCGGCCCATCTGAAATGAAAAGTATCATGGGTTGAGTCAGGCGTCTCTTAAACATCAAGCCATACTTCAGAGAGATCTGTTGACGTATTTTGTATGATATATAAGAAAATTAGGAACATCGAGCAAATGACAAAATATTTTATTTAAAACAAATACAAACACGTCAACGGGAGCTAGGGAGTTTCGTCGATAAGATGCATTAAAGTAATCCCAATTTCCGAAGGAAAGCAGATCAATATAAAATACAGACCAGGAAACTAAAGCAGAAATCGCGCAATGTCGCATATAAAAGACAGACCAGGAAACTTAAGCAGAAATCGTTGAATGTCGCATGCGACATTCAACGATTTTTGCTTTAGTTTTCTTGTCTGTCTTTTATATTACGACATTCAACGATTTCTGCTTTAGTTTCCTGGTCTGTCTTTTATATTGATTTAATTTCTTTCGGAGTTCAAGAGAACGCAATAAAATATAAACACATGTTTATATTTATTCCAAGACCAAGTTAGTTTTGTTTTGTTAATTTATTTCTTCTTATACTCTGCGAGACATTTATTTCTTCTCCCACTCTCTTACAATGTCAATCCGACTTTTCAAATTACAAGAAAAATCTGTGCAGTGTTGGGATTTTGGCACAGTGAATAGAATGGTTATTATGCAATTAAAGGCAAAGGTGCAAATGAGCTGGACAAGAATGACGAGAATTATCCATGGAGAAGGGGAACAAGAGGGACGAAGGACAAACACAAATCTCCAAACACAGCTAGGTGACTGGTGCGCGACCGAAAAAATCCGCCTGGTCCGGGTATCGAACCCGGGACCTCTCCATTACAAACGGAGCGCTCTACTAATGGACCGTTTTCGACTAACGAGCGTCGTCTGGGGGGTTGTTTGCGAATCACGAATGAAATGCCATGGCCTCCGAGACCTTTGTCGCGTAGGGCTCTCCTCAGACCGTTCTATTGGCTGGGAGAGACTGGAAAAATAGGTGGCAGGGAGCCTGTATTACAGATAGTGTCCAACTGCTCGTCCGGGATCACGTGATACATGGACCGAGTTTGCAATACGAGCTCGAGGAGGTGCCGAAAGCTTTGATTGTCCTGCAAACGTTTCCGGCTTTCTCCCTGCTTTCTCTCTCGCCACGCAAAACAAAAAAAAAAAAAAAGCAGAATATATTTATTAGCAACTCATCACCGCAGAAGGCGTCCGCCATTGAATTGCAAACGCTCCCTGTGGTGTGAGATGGATCTTCTATACAATTTAAGCTACCTAACAGGCGGCCACGCACGTTGCGCCGCCGTGCTGAGGAAATAGCCGGGAGTTGGTTTTTTTCTTCAAAGGGCCTGCTCACTAGCTTGCTTAGCTTAGGTGGGAGGATCTGTGGTCGAGTGGGCTAGCGCTCACCAGCTCGGAGCACGCGGAGCGAAAGCTCGCGCTGCCGAACCCAGGCATCGTGGGCTCGGCACATCAGGACTTTAAACCCATGTTCTGTAAAACAAAACAAAAAACAAAAAACAAAAAAAAGATTTTTAAATTTTGGTTTAACACATGCTTTTCGTGCAAGGCTTGTCAAATTATGAGACGCTGGAGAAAACCAGCCTTCTGCGTTAAAGGGGCCCTGCAACGACTTTTTGACTGGTTTTTAATTTGCACCGAACCTGAGCACACTGAACGTAGTAACTTGGGGAAACTTTTCGTTTCTCGAATTTCGCTTTATTTTAAAAGTTACATGCAAATTAAAATTACAAGAAACAAGCAAAAAATAACCTCCTCCATGACGTCCTTGGTCCCGGCTTTAGTGGCCGTGAACCATAGAGGAGGGGTAGTGAGCTCAGCGAGCGCTCACGGCTGCCGCTCCGTGTCGACGGCTCGAGAGGGCGCCACTAAAGCAAGTGCTGGATAGGCTGGATTAAGTGGGCGGCCCGGGGTGGCTCGCATTGCAATTGCTGCTCGATTAAACTCCAATTCGGCATGACACTTCATTGGCCACAAACGACATCAAACGTGGGTAAAGATCAGTTCAGAACGGGAGTCACTACGCGCTGCCATACCGCCAAACGGCCAAACCGCAAACTACCCTGCGTGGAGCTGGTTATATACCCTAGGCTAGTGGTTGCAGCGCACTGGCTAAATTTCTGAAGGTAGATGGAGAGGGAGGGCGAGAGAGGGCGAAACAAGGTAATTGGGGAGGACAGCCTAGGACGAGGGAAGGGAGGGGTGGGAAAAAAGAAAGGGAGGGGAAGAGAGGAGGGGGATGGGGAGACGAAATTGATGTGTCACGTGACAAATTTCTCCGCTAAATTTAGCGGGGAAACTATATTATTGTATATTTGATTTCCTCCGCCATATTTATCGGAAGAACCGAATTGTTGTTTAGGTCACGTGACTTCAATTTTCCCGCTAAATTTAGCGGAGAAACTGAGTTGAAGTGTAGGTCACGTGATATCAATTTCTCCACTTTGTGTGTATGTCACGGTCACATGACGTCAATTTCCCCCCTAAATTTAGCGGGAAATGCTCGGATGGACGGATTGGCGGGTTCTGTTAAAATGCATTTCACGTTTTCTTTCTTTATTTATTCGTTCTTTTCCCGATTGACCAGGAGGTGGGAGAGACTAAAGGCGTGATGCCTGACGAGGTCCCTGTCCCCTTTACAGCTCTAACACAGTAGTGTAGGGCACATACATTTTTGAACACGAAGAATAGAGAGAAAAGAAGCTACAAAATCCTATACAACACAGAAATAAAAAACAGGATCAATCAGTTAGCACACGATAAATTTTCAGCAAAGAATGATAAAATCAAATCAGTCGGAAACATGTTTTAACAATTAAAAAAGAAAATATGGACATGATTTAATAAGTACAAAATACACATATATCAGAACACAATGTCCACCAGAAGTGTCTTTAGTCTTTTTTTTTTTTTTTCATTATTTGAAGTATGTTGCAGTTAAAATCTCTTAGATCTTCTGTATTATTCAGAATTTTGCCGACTTGGAAGTTGGCCGTTTGTTTTCCATAATTGGCACTCATTTTTGGATGTCGCCTGATTCTATGTCTAAGTTTGTGATAGGTTGTGCTTTCTGGCGGAATCGCGGAGTTTTTTTTGTTTTTTTTTGTAATATCTGTAACTTCTTAGAATAATAAATTTGATTTACCTTAAGTCGGCCATATTTGCTGAATAGTGGTTCAGTTGGGAGATATTGAGGCTTACCTTTATAATTTTCAAATAGTCGCAAAATTTTTTTGTAAGATGATCAACCTATTATGATTGGTTGCCGATTTCGTGCCCCAGACTAAAATGCAATAACACAATTTTGAGTAAAATAATGCGTAATAATAAATAATTTTTAGTCACAAGGGTATGAGATTTCTTATTCTATGAATACATTCAGTGGCTCAGGATAGCTCAGAGCTCAGCTTATTTATGTACGTGTTCCAACTTAACTCCCGATTGAACCACACACCAAGGAATTTTGTTTTTGTTTTGTAAACTCCTCTACAATTTTATTTTAAAAATATATTGTCACCTTAGTGTTGTCGAACCTTTCAACGGGAGTGAAAACATATATTATATTTATATATCTATAGCGTCATAGCGGCTTTGCCGCACAACACCAAACATTCTGAGCGTTAATTTCGGCATGTATTTTCTATTTATTAATTCTTTTTTTTTTTTCAAAAGGGGCGAGTATAGCTGACGCGAAAAGGGACTTTGAGTTTGAATACCATTATTTAGCTTACAGTTCACAAAAACAGAACGGCCACACTCTGCAAATTCGCTAACTATGCATACATCAGCTTAAACCTCTCAGTTGCGCAAGTGGCCATGTATGCATCCGACTTTTCCAACCGCACTCAACAACGTGTGGTTGGAAAAGCTACTGGCTTCACGGACAGTGAACGATTCTGAACTTTTATGCCAGCATTGCTACAAATACCTCAAGAATCAGATTACTTCTCCTCACAGCGCGAGTACATCAAACTCTTCTTTCCGTGACTCTGATGAAATTTTGGCTGAAATGAGTCAAGACTTGTGTGCTGCTAGCAGAGCTGGCAGTAATGTAATTACTGTAATGAAATTACAGTAATTTAATTACTTGTTCCAGTAATTAGTAATGTAATTCATTACTTTTTGTAGCAGGTAATTTAGTAATGTTATGAATTACTCCAGCGAGGGTAATTGTAATTAAATTACCTAATTACTTTTTCGCACCAGGCATATTTTAGAGCGCAGCTCTTAGGGGCCCGTTCCCGGCTTGAGCGGCGTCGCCGTCGCCGTCGGCGTCGCCGTTGGCGTCGCCGTCGGCGTAACCAAGGTCATCCCAAGGTCACTTGACCCCCAAGGTCACGTGACCCCAAGGTAACCCCAAGGTCACGTGACCCCTCCCCAAGGGTCGCGTGACCCCAAGGTCACGTGACACCCAAGGTCACCCCAAGGTCACGTGACACCCAAAGTCACGTGGCTTCCCAAGTCACGTGACCCCCGATGACGTCACCGGCATCCTCATCGTCAGCGTCATGATCACTGATGACGTCATCAGTGACGTCACTGATGACGTCACCGGCATCCGCATCGTCATCGTCATCATCGCTGATGACGTCATCAGTGACGTCACTGATGACGTCAGCGGCATCCGCATCATCATCATCACTGATGACGTCACCGGCATCCGCATCGTCATCGTCATCATCACTGATGATGTCACCGGCATCCGCATCGTCATCGTCATCATCGCTGATGACGTCATCAATGACGTCACTGATGACGTCACCGGCATCCGCATCGTCATCGTCATCATCACTGATGACGTCACCGGCATCCGCATCTCCATCGTCATCATCGCTGATGACGTCATCTGTGACGTCACTGATGACGTCACCGGCATCCGCATCGTCATCATCACTGATGACGTCACCGGCATCCGCATCGCCATCGTCATCATCGCTAATGACGTCATCAGTGACGTCACTGATGACGTCACCGGCATCCGAATCGTCATCGTC